ATTGATGAATGACGCAACTCTGTGGATATTTCGAGGGGCCCAAGGCCGCCAAGCCTGCAGGGGATCTGCCAAGCACGCTGAGCAGGAGAGCAGAAAGGCCAACGACGGCAGTTTCTACACCTTTGACGAGTTTGCCCCAAGCCAAGATATCTCACATATCTCACCTTACTTCAACCAAGTTTTCAGTGCCAAAGCACCCAACCAAAGTGAACCCTGCGGTGCACTGGTCCGCTCCTAGATGAAGCATAATGGCAAGGACAAGGCATGGCACATGCAACTTGATGGCAATGGTTGCAGCCTTTGACTGGGAAAGTTGCCGCCACTATCCCTAGACTATAATGTCTTGTGTTGCTCCTGGTTCCTTGGCACTGCAGTTGTTTTTTTGCTGCTAGCAGCATGTTCCTTTTTGCGTCAGAGCACTTCAGCTTTTGGATTTGGATGCGGCTGAACTATGATCGAATTTGAATGCACGATGCACGACCCAATTTTTGGCTCAGAAGATCCTGAATAAACGCCCTTGCCATCGTTCTTCCTTGACTCCTCGCACTTTTGCTCAGTGTGAACATGGAGATGCAGACCCAAAGCTCTAGGAGTTTCGCATTCATCTTTCCCTTGGCCTCTGGTCACATCAACCCATCTTTAGCCATTGCTAGGTCCCTTGTACAGCAGGGGCATGATGTGCACTACCTCTGTCGGGAACAGATGCGTGAGGCTATTGAAGATACTGGTGCCGTGTTCCACAGCGACATTGAAACTCAACCAGAGCTGTATGCTGGGAGAGACCCCTCGATGTGGGGTGCCCTGGGATCCTTGCAGGAGGAGTATGGCATGAAGGGCGAAAGCCTTTCACAGGCCAGATTGAAAATGAGGGAGTTGGCAGCAGAGCTGATGCTTCCTGGCACTCTTCGATGGCTTAAGAAGATCAATGCTCAGGCGATGCTGTGTGATCCTTTGATCAACTTGGAGGCCCCACTGGTGGCAAAGGTGGCAGGGATTCCCTGCGTGTCCTTGTTGACTGTTGCAGGGCCTGGTGGACAGGAAGTTGCTTGGGGCGGTGTCTTGAAGGCATTGGGTATGACTGCGGAGCAAGTCTTGCAGGAAAGGCGTCAGTTTCAAGGACGCCAGGGTGAAACGGCTCAGCTAGATGTGTCATTGCATGTCATTGCCGTGTTGACCTAGCAAGCGAGCACCATTTGATACGCAATTGATATGGATGCAGTCCGGACTAGACCCATGGGCATAGTAGTCAATTGTTGCATGTTCTTCATAATTTCGCGTTGGCCCGTCCCCCTTTGTAGGACTCCAAGATTGTATCGAACGTCTGAAGAAGACCTATGGCCTTCACCTCGCAGTGGAAGATGGGGTGAAGCCTTTGGGAGTCTTTAGATCCTGCCTGATGTCTACTTTGACGCTGGTGACCACTGCCGAGTTCTTAGCGGATCCCATGTCACCAGAGGTGTCCAAAGCATACACCGACCATGACTTCGTATACCTTGGTCCTCTGCTGGACAAGCCGGGTGCCAAACGTGCGGCTGGTCACAAGTTTGATGCTGCCGATCATTCAGGTGGTGATTCTGACGCGACAGCCTTGAAGTTGGCTCGTGATGCAAGGGCAGAAGGTCGACCAGTGGTGTTGGTGAGTCTTGGAACCATCATCACAGGTGATCATATTGACTATGGCTGGGGTGCTCGCTTCGTTGTCGAGGGACAGCAGGTGGGCATTTCCGGTCGGGAACTTTGCCAGGCAGCGTGGCAGGCAGCCTTTGATGTTTTCGGCCAATGGGACTCGAGCTCAATGCAGTCGCCCTTGATTCTTGCAGCGCTAGGTCCCCAAGCAGATGCCCTGGAGGGACTGAAGGTACCTCCAAATGCCTTCTGCAGCCCTACCCTTCCACAAGTGGATTTGCTCAGACTTGGAGTGGATATTTTCCTGACCCATGGAGGGCAGAATAGCTTCATGGAAGCCTTGTCCATGGGAGTTCCCCTAGTAGTTTGCCCAGGCTTTGCCGATCAGCCGGTGAATGCAGCGAAAGCCGAGTCGTTGGAGATCGGTCTCAAGGTGGATCGACCCATGCGACCCCTGGAGCATGCTGAGGCAGACATAGCTGCATACAGGAAAAGCACTGCAGATGCCTTGATGAAAGTGACGCAAGATCCATCTTTCAAACAGAATGCCATGAGCTGCGCGCAGGCCTTGAGTGCTTGTGGAGGTGTCAGCCTAGCAACCAGAATTCTGCTAGCTTTGGCAAATTCGGACCTGCCACTTCAACTGAAACTGGCCGGAGCAAGTTTAGATCATGTTTAGATCTTTTGAATGAGCCCGGTGACTTGCGCTGGCTCGAAACACTGTCCCACCTTCGCCATGCACAGCGCTGCTCCCGGGGGATCTTTGTACAGGCTTGGTCAACTTTCTTGACTCCTCACCGGCCTTGCAGTGGATGAGCACCTGGCGGAGTAAAGGTTGTGCATTCGAGAGGGATGCTGGGGGCATTGCTGTGGCGAAAATGATGTATCTTGATGCCAACACGAAACCTTGGGTCGAAGTGATGTTTCAGGTTCGAACCTTCTGGGACATTGTGAAGTACGACTACGTTGGCTTCCGTTTTCTCAGCCAAGATCCTTGGCTGTGCAAAGACTGTGACCAAATTTGGCGCGGCAGCCCAGTTTTTATGATGCATTGAGGATTTAGTGAATTTTGGATGCATTCAGTGAACTGTAGCTGTTTCCAAGTCACGGGGTTGTGGACAGGATTCCATCAAGGGACCCTGGGTCTACTGTGATGAACAAGGTGTTGAGCGACGAAGAGCTGATGTGGGGGCCCAAGTGACAGGTTGTCAGGCAGCTGGGGTTGTCCAAGAATGGGGTATATACCACAAAATTCCAATCTTAACAGGGAAAATTATGACTACAATCATGCAATTTTTTGGGAAACCAGCTGGAATGCTCTGATTTGCTGGAGGTTTTCCTCCTTGCTAAGGATGGGAAGCTATACAATGCCCTGCAATTCAAGAAGTTCTATGACAAGGAGTCTGTCACCATGGTGAAATCACAGAAAGCCGTGATATTTTTATGACTTGAGCAGAGAGCTGAAACCCTTCCTGATAATACGCGCAGGAGGGGAGGGACAAATGGACAAATGCTGGGCACTTAGCTATCAGATCTTCTTCTTTTCCGTGCTGTACAACTCAGCCAGAATCCAAGGCGGCCAAATACACAGAAGCTCGAATCGCCAGAAATGGCAAGGCTGGAGAGTGAAGCTTTGTCTGGACTTTCTTTCAACCTACGGAAGCTTTAATGCTTCAGGCATATACAGCGGCAGAGTTCAGAGACTATTACATCGACTACCTTGGTGAGGTGCCATCTCGTGAAAACAAAAAGATCCATGATATCCTGGGTGGTCGGTATAGTTTCGAAATTTCGTATTTTCGTTTTTCCAGCTTCATGAAAACTACAAAGCCCTAAAGAAACTCATATGAATCTTGGGCGTGGTCATGGTCCATGGATTAGTGATCCGGCCCCACCAAGCCATGGCCACAGGAGGGCTGGGTGAAGGAGTGGTCCAGCTCCAAAGAGGAGATCCTGCCAGGGGTTGGATCATTTCCCATTAAAGCCATGAAGTCCTATGGCCATAACTGCCATAACTGCCATAACTTGGGATTGATCAATCATTTTTGGCCATTGAACTATGGCCATGACTTCGAAGTTGAAGTTGTCTATCGTGATTTTGTGCCCATTAATGGCATCATAAGTTGGGGTATCCCCAAGATGTATCTATGACATTTATGATGTTTGTCGGTCTGATGGCCTGAATATCCATAGCTGCCTATAGTAGCTAATACCGCTATATCATACTATATACCATACTATATACCAAACTATATACCATAGTGGCTTGATGAATGACGCAGCTCTGTGGATATTTCGTGAGGCCCAAGGCCGCCACGCCTGCAGGGGATCTGCCAAGCACGCTGAGCAGGAGAGCAGAAAGGCCAACGACGGCAGTTTCTACACCTTTGACGAGTTTGCCCCAAGCCAAGATATCTCACATATCTCACCTTACTTCAACCAAGTTTTCAGTGCCAAAGCACCCAACCAAAGTGAACCCTGCGGTGCACTGGTCCGCTCCTAGATGAAGCATTATGGCAAGGACAAGGCATGGCACATGCAACTTGGTGGCCATGGTTGCAGCCTTTGACTGGGAAAGTTGCCGCCACTATCCCTAGACTATAATCCATTGGATGCTATAATGAATATATACATGATATAAATGAAGTGTGTATATGTATATATTATATATATAATATAATATATGTATATATTTGTAATACATAAAATATAGATTCAATATGAATGTAGTATACCAGTAGTACCGCACAAGGCGGTGGCGGAAGTTTCAAAAATAGGAAAGCTGTAGGAGAGGTTGGTTGTTGTGAATCACGGATAGCAGAGCGAAGCCACTGATGGACCGAAAGGTGATTGATGGCTCCTCTCTTTCTCTCTCTTTCTCTGACTATATCTACCTACCTACCTACCTATCTATCTACCTATGTATCTATCGATCTATTGATCTATCTACCTATCTTTCCATCTATCTATCTATCGTTCTAACTATCTATCTATCTATCTATCTCTCTCTCTCTCTTTCTTTCATCTGTCTATCTGTCTAGCTGTCTACCTGTCTATCTGTCTATCTATCTATCTGTCTGTCTATCTATCTGTCTATCTATCTATCTATCTATCGATCGATCGATCGATCGATCTATCTATCTATCTATCTATCTATCTATCTATATCTCTCTCTCTCTCTCTCGCTTTCATCTGTCTAGCTGTCTAGCTGTCTAGCTGTCTACCTGTCTATCTATCTATCTATCTACCTATCTATCTATCTGTCTGTCTGTCTGTCTGTCTATCTATCTACCTGTCTATCTGTGGTGCAGTGTCATTCAGTGTAATGTAGTGTAATGTAGTGTAGTGTAGTGGAGTGTAGTGGAATGTAGTGTAGTGTAGTGTAATGTAGTTTAGTGTAGTGTAATTTAGTCTAGTGGAAGGTAGTGTAGTGTAATGTAGTGTAGTGGAGTGTAGTGTAGTGTAATGTAGTGTAGTGTAGTGTAATTTAGTGTAGTGGAGTGTAGTGGGGTGTAATGGAGTGTAGTGGGGTGTAGTTGTGTAGTTGTAGTTGTAGTGTAGTGGAGTGTAGTGTAGAGTAATGTAGTGAAGTGTAGTGGAAGGTAGTGTAGTGTAGTGTAATTTAGTGTAGTGGAGTGTAGTGTAATGTAGTGTAGTGTAGTGTAATTTAGTGTAGTGGAGTGTAGCGGAGTGTAGTGGAGTGTAGTGGAGTGTAGTGGAGTGTAGTTGTGTAGTTGTAGTTGCAGTTGTAGTGTTGTGGAGTGTAGTGTAATGTAGTGTAGTGAGTGGAGTGTAGTGTAGTGTTGTAATGTAGTGTAGTGAAGCGAAGCGAAGCGAATCTGAACCTCAAATGTGGTCCGAACCCCTAGTGCTTTTAACATTTTGACTTCGAAATGTGCTTCGCGCCACAATGGCGTGCACTTTTTCGACATCTGAACCTCCAAAAGTGGTCCGAACCCCTAGTGTTTTGTACATTTTGACTTCAAAATGTGCTTCGCGCCACAACCGCGTGCACTTTTTCGACATCGCAACTTCCAAAAGTGGCGCGAACATGTGGTGTTCTGTACATTTTGAGCTGGAAATGTGCTTCGCGCCAGAACGCCGTGCACTTTTTCGTCATCTCAACTTCCAAAAGTGGTCCGGCGCTGAGGTGTTTTATATCTTTTCACTTCGAAATCGGCTTCGAGCCACAACGGCGTGCAACTTTTCATCTCTCATCTCCCCAGATGTCTCCGCGCCCGCCGCTTTAGCGAGCCTACTTTTCGACCCTCCGGAGCCCCAAATCATTGGAAAAACATAGTGTTTCGCGACTTTCCTACCTTTTCGCGCATCTGCATCTTGATCTTCTCTCTTCTACTCTGCTCCTCCCTGCTCTGCTTTTCATCTGTCCATATTGTCGGAAGTTTGACTTCTAAACTCCTTCGATCAGTACATCATAGCATTTCGAATCCTTTCATGGACCAGTGATGCAAGGTGGGACGCTGCCAGCAAGCTGCGCCCGGAGCCTTGAGACCAAGGAGGCCTGTGTCGGTGTGTCTGAAAATGAAGGTATACCCCAAAATAGTCCTTTTAAATGGGACAATTATCAAACACCATTGGATTTTGAGGTAAGAATTATCAAACACCATTGGATTTTGAAGTACCTTATTTTCAAAGAAACCCAAATGACCATGACAACTGTGCCGAAAAGCAGAACCATGGCGCTTCAAGGCTCGCCAGGACGTCCTTCTGAACAAGTGTCGTCGCAGAAACTTTGACTACTTAACTTCCAACACAGAAGTGAAGAGCTGGTCAGCTCGGGTTTCGCAAGAATAGCTTCTGGATTGCCATCCGGCTTTTGATTGCCTGGATTTCAAATGACTTCATACGGCTTCATTTTGCAATTGATTGAACAGACTACCTTGCTATGAGTTCACCTCTGCTTGGGCGGTTCTTATGTAAATTCCTGCGCGCATCGCAAGAACAGGCGTTGCCGGGAAAAGATGCTTCTCCATTTCTGCTGAACTGCACCGGACTGATTTCCTGAGACCAGGTCTCAACAACCCCCAGCTCAAATTGTCAAGAATAAATTCAGAATAAACCTCAAGTTGGCAAAGTTGAAGTTTCCAGTCAAAAATTGAGCGGAACGTGGACATCACATTAGCCCCACAGGGATGCCTTCGCACGAATTTTCCGCAAGCTTGGCCCAAAGAGGGGACCAGTTGCTGCAGTGGTCAGAGTCATGGCGGGTGCCTCAAACAACAGATTGCCAAGATTTCTTCGCGCAGAGATGCCCTTATACTTGGTTCACCCCATTTAGCATGCTAAAACCATCTAAAACCACTGTGATAAATATGGTAGGGTTAGCCCAGTTGGAACTGGGGTGACCCACTGGGATGAAAACCAAGTACCAGATGATACATATTACCTATAGGACCTATTCACCTATCTCAGGACGAGACACTGCTGGGATGGATTTTCTTGCATCTTGACTGCAGCTGCCAGTTTGTTTCACGGCAGGAGAGTTTCCTTGATTTCTGTCCACTTTCTGGAGAATCAGCATGTTTGTCGCACTTGAGGATTGGCATGATGATATGGCGGATGTTCTTGAGATGTCATTGTTCGCAGAAGCTTCTTCACATGTGCAGCTTGTCACATTGGTGGCTGATGTTTGCTGGGCCGGACATTTCTTGTCTGAGACCTTCAGATCGAGGTGGCCCTGTTGCGTGGATGTTCCAATGGCGCCTGGACTGCATGTGTAGACCAGTACAGTCTGCAGTTTCTTTAGAAGCACGGACCTATGTAATTTGTGACTTATTATATGATGAAGGATGATGAACGCCTACAGCCAAGGTACAATTTGACCTTTGCCGGTCTTGTGTTGCTCCTGGTTCCTTGGCACTGCAGTCATATTTTTGCTGCTAGACTGCCAGCATGTTCCTTTTTGCGTCAGAGCACTTCAGCTTTTGGATTTGGATGCGGCTGAACTATGATCGAATTTGAATGCACAATGCACGACCCAATTTTTGGCTCAGAAGATCCTGAATAAACGCCCTTGCCATCGTTCTTCCTTGATTTCTCGCACTTTTGCTCAGTGTGAACATGGAGATGCTGATGCAGACCCAAAGCTCTAGGAGTTTCGCATTCATTTTTCCCTTGGCCTCTGGTCACATCAACCCATCTTTAGCCATTGCTAGGTCCCTTGTACAGCAGGGGCATGATGTGCACTACCTCTGTCGGGAACAGATGCGTGAGGCTATTGAAGATACTGGTGCCGTGTTCCACAGCGACATTGAAACTCAACCAGAGCTGTATGCTGGGAGAGACCCCTCGATGTGGGGTGCCCTGGGATCCTTGCAGGAGGAGTATGGCATGAAGGGCGAAAGCTTTTCACAGGCCAGATTGAAAATGAGGGAGTTGGCAGCAGAGCTGATGCTTCCTGGCACGCTTCGATGGCTTAAGAAGATCAATGCTCAGGCGATGCTGTGCGATCCTTTGATCAACTTGGAGGCCCCACTGGTGGCAAAGGTGGCAGGGATTCCCTGCGTGTCCTTGTTGACTGTTGCAGGGCCTGGTGGACAGGAAGTTGCTTGGGGCGGTGTCTTGAAGGCATTGGGTATGACTGCGGAGCAAGTCTTGCAGGAAAGGCGTCAGTTTCAAGGACGCCAGGGTGAAACGGCTCAGCTAGATGTGTCATTGCATGTCATTGCCGTGTTGACCTAGCAAGCGAGCACCATTTGATACGCAATTGATATGGATGCAGTCCGGACTAGACCCATGGGCATAGTAGTCAATTGTTGCATGTTCTTCATAATTTCGCGTTGGCCCGTCCCCCTTTGTAGGACTCCAAGATTGCATCGAACGTCTGAAGAAGACCTATGGCCTTCACCTCGCAGTGGAAGATGGGGTGAAGCCTTTGGGAGTCTTTAGATCCTGCCTGATGTCTACTTTGACGCTGGTGACCACTGCCGAGTTCTTAGCGGATCCCATGTCACCAGAGGTGTCCAAAGCATACACCGACCATGACTTCGTATACCTTGGCCCTCTGCTGGACAAGCCGGGTGCCAAACGTGCGGCTGGTCACAAGTTTGATGCTGCCGATCATTCAGGTGGTGATTCTGACGCGACAGCCTTGAAGTTGGCTCGTGATGCAAGGGCAGAAGGTCGACCAGTGGTGTTGTTGAGTCTTGGAACCATCATCACAGGTGATCATATTGACTATGGCTGGGGTGCTCGCTTCGTTGTCGAGGGACAGCAGGTGGGCATTTCCGGTCGGGAACTTTGCCAGGCAGCGTGGCAGGCAGCCTTTGATGTTTTCGGCCAATGGGACTCGAGCTCAACGCAGTCGCCCTTGATTCTTGCAGCGCTAGGTCCCCAAGCAGATGCCCTGGAGGGATTGAAGGTACCTCCAAACGCCTTCTGCAGCCCTACCCTTCCACAAGTGGATTTGCTCAGACTCGGAGTGGATATTTTCCTGACCCATGGAGGGCAGAATAGCTTCATGGAAGCCTTGTCCATGGGAGTTCCCCTAGTAGTTTGCCCAGGCTTTGCCGATCAGCCGGTGAATGCAGCGAAAGCCGAGTCGTTGGAGATCGGTCTCAAGGTGGATCGACCCATGCGACCCCTGGAGCATGCTGAGGCAGACATAGCTGCATACAGGAAAAGCACTGCAGATGCCTTGATGAAAGTGACACAAGATCCATCTTTCAAACAGAATGCCATGAGCTGCGCGCAGGCCTCGAGTGCTTGTGGAGGTGTCAGCCTAGCAACCAGAATTCTGCTAGCTTTGGCAAATTTGGACCAGCCACTTCAAGTGAAACTGGCTGGAGCTTAGCATGTTTAGATCATGTTTAGATCATGTTTAGATCTTTTGAATGAGCCCAGCGACTTGCGCTGGCTCGAAACACTGTCCTGCTTTCGCCATGCACGGCAGCTTGATGAAGCTTGCTGCACGCCGCTGCTCCCGGGGGATCTTTGTACAGACTTGGTCAACTTTGTTGACTCCTCACCGGCCTTGCAGTGGATGAGCACCTGGCGGAGTGGCATTCGAGGGGGATGCTGGGGGCATTGCTGTGGCGAAAATGATGTATCTTGATGCCAACACAAAACCTTGGGTCGAAGTGATGTTTCAGGTTCGAACCTTCTGGGACATTGTGAAGTACGACTACGTCGGCTTCCGTTTTCTCAGCCAAGATCCTTGGCTGTGCAAAGACTGTGAAGTTTTTCCGGGGTTTTGAGCACCTGTCATAGTGATCGCAGCCTTTCTAGGACAAGATCCACGATCAGATTGGCAAAATCTGTGATGCGAAAGGTGGGCAGATGGTCGGCCCAATCCAGCTTCAACCAGCAAAAAGCCTGTGCTTGATGTTCTAGATCGAAGGAATCAGGATTTGCTGGGTCACGGACCTAGTTTCCCCCTTGAGCTCTTGCTGCTTCCCACATGCTCATTCAAATTCCCCCTGCAGGACTATCTGATGCTGATTGCGATAAGTTCAGGCAGGGTTTCACAGTTTCACACAAGATTTTGTGTCCAGTCATTTTTTCCAGGACATGGCTGCGCACAGTGTCACATCGGCCACTATCACTAACCATCTGATCCCACGAGCCCTGCATAGGGAAGATTTGGTGATCCCTCCATGGTTGCACACCTTCTCCTTGGTGGCCCCAGCGCCTTGGCCTTTTCAACAGTCAAGGTGGCCTGGTTTCCAGGTGGGTCTCCCTAGCACTGAAATCACAAGATGTTAAGTACTGTACTATTTCATGACTTATTGCTGTTCTATACTGTTCTCATTTACAAGAAACATCAAGAAACACTTTACATTTTTTTTGGACATGATGTCTGATTTCTGATGATTGTCGCTCCTGTTCCAAGGTTTGTGGATTGCTTGGTTTCTTCATCCTCAGTATGCGTTTGTCATACTTTGTACAAACAAATGCTACAGCGAAGAGGAAAGTCCAGCAGGGGGAGCAGGTCCGCTACCAAGATCCCTGTGATTGATCGAGCAGTTTGCTGCTCAAGAAAACGGTAGCAGGAACACTTCATTTTAGTGGGACACATGCATTTAAATCCAAAATCATTCAGATTCTTAAATGCCAATCATCAGGGCAGTCTTGATGTGCTTTTCCATCTTTTTCCATCTTTTCCCATCCTTTTTCCATGCGTTTCTATCACCTGCTGCGATGATCGCAGTGGTGACGCCAGGCCTTTCCGCCCAACGAGGACGGCACGCCCGAAGACAAAATCTCAACGGATGGCATGCCTTGGAAACTCGCGGACAGAATGGATTGGGCGCCTAGGACTTCCTGAAAAGTGACCACTTTTTTTTCTTCAAATGGGTATGGGTCAAAATGAAAGACCTAGGGGACCACAGATGTTAGTCTAGTTTAGTTTGGGAAAACATTTGGGTATGGGTCAAAATTAGGTACCCCAATAGTTGGATGGTTAATACTAAACTAGACTTAAATCTGTGGTCCCACATCGGTCTTCCATTTTGACCCACATCCAAATGTTTTCCCAAAATCTCAATCATAGGGATAACCGGGAGAACCTTTCGAGATTTTGTTTATCATCATTTTTCCAGATTTTTCTGTCAGCGAATGTAACAAGGCATCAACACATGGGGATAACTGGATAGGGATAAATGGAACTGTTGGTGGTATCACCTCTGATCTGGTTGATGGCTCCTTCGTTGCCGCGTCATTTTTCGACCGAGGTGGTGATCATTCTGGGCACACCCTTGATTTTCATTGTGGAAGGCTCAGGGTGCAAGGTACCATATTCATGATTTACTGTATTGGATTGATTGAAGGCAACATTCTACAGGAAACCAGTGTTTTCACCCCCAATCTATTGGGCTTTCCATGAATTGGCACTTCAAGCATTTCTGCGAATTCTTGTTGGTTTATACATTTATACAATTCTATGTATTTTAACCGCCTGCCAACTTGGTGACCTGAGGTGATGGCTATGAGGTCGTTGATCCGAATCTGGACCGTCATGACTGGAACGGCCTTTCGCGAAGGCACAGCATGGGTGACTTGATGGCAATGTCCTATCCCTGTAGAGACAGGACTTCAACATGGGTGAAAATGGGGTAGACCTTCAAATTGGCCGCATTTTTAGGGAAAAATGATCCCTTCATTATGGAAGTACACATTTTTCAGACACACCTCTGAATCCACTGGAAAAATCCAAGGAAGACATGGAGCGCCTGGAGATTGTGCCCCCGGCAACAAATCGTGGTTGGTTTCGGAATGGCTGAAGGTTTGAGATTTGGTTCTCTTAATTCAATCCATTGAGCTTAAGATTGTAAGATCACAGAGCCGCAGCAGCCGCTGTCCCTTGAAAGAGGTCTTTGACTCCAATGACCCTAATTCATTCCTAATTCTGGAAAGATGTCATGTTGCAGCACCATATTGCATTTTTGGTTTGTCAGTGGCCAGAAATGTTAATTTTGATGTGATGGCCTTTTCATGCCTTTTCTAAGTGGCCCAAGATTGGATGCTTTGACTTCCAAGGCCACTTACCAAATGGATCTCGAACTGGCCGTTCCTTGACATTCAATCAGTGGGAGTTACACTTTCAGGCTCCGTTCATGTGCTGAAGCATCCATGTGTCGAGGTTGGATTCCAGTTCTATGCCTGCTTGATGTTTGGCCTTCTCTGCACCAGCTTTCTGCAGCACTCACGGATTGTGAGCACTGGAAGAGACAGAAAGTACACCCAACGGTTCCTAGGCGAGGGGCGGCTGGATGTTCCTCTGCAGATAGGGCTGCTCCCCAGATAGCCCTGGGGATCAACTGCGGGAGATTGAGTAAATAAAGGGGTAAATCAATGTAAATCAATGTAAAGCGCCAATTTCCCAACCCGTGTGGCAATCATTCATCCAAAAAAGTTCGAAAGTTGCCATGTCAGTTGGTTAAAGTTTATGTGCCATCTCCCAGTTGGGCACCATACAAATCATCTATCAAAGTGGCTCATCCACTACTTGAACTGATTGGAAAGTACAGTAATCCGGATACTAGAACCCCCGAGAAACAGAAAGTCCAGCTTGTCTGCATTGGTCTGCCCACATGGTCATCCTAGATTAAGATGGGGAGCATACAGAGTACTGCCCTACAACATCCTACAAAACTGCCTCTGTTTCTGACCTTTCTGGGACGGGATATTCGAGGTGAATGAATTGGCCCCAGGAATTTGCAACCATGCCAGGAGTCCTTGTTTATACACAGCATCCAGGTAGCATAATTGGCCGCAGTCGCAATCTGAGGTACATGAGGATCGTTGCTTACACTGCGGTGCAAGGTGTTTATGCCTTCGTCTTCATTGGTGTGCTTAGAACCATCTTCGATATCACAGCTACGCGCCTGCACAAGTGTCCCTGAACAAATGGGATTCCAGGACGTGCTCTGAAGTGTGCAACCTGGGCTGAGGTGACGTACATTTCTGAAGTGCCCAAGTACCATGACCAGGTGCCGTGTGGACTTGAACCACCTTGACATCCCATTGAAATTCTGGCTATGTTCATTTGCCTCAATATGTCTCAACTACATTCACCAACCACACAAGTTGATTAGATACTTTGTTGCAAGATTCTTGCCACGGCCATGATTGAACTAAGAGCCCTTTCCCTGCCGCCAGGCACAGGTCATTCAGGTGAAAATTCTCGACAAGGCGCAGAGTTGCAGAAGCCGTCAGTTCTCGTTGGAGAATTTTACCCGGCTCGTTCGCTGTCCGTTGTTCTATCAAACTGCTCTTCGCTTCATTGAGCACACAAATTGGCATCCTTACATCTCTGATTCACGCAGCAGATGATCGAGTCTGAATCGAAATCAGATCCTGTCAAAACAACTTCATAGTCTATCATACAGACAATTGAATCAATTGACATTGTGTGCCAATGTTAAGCTGACATAAGTAGACCAGGTACGGGAATCTTATTCAGTACTCTGACCTGGCACCTGGATAGGTGGGTACCATCTTCAGCTTCGTCACTTTGCTCTGCATGCTGAACATGTTTCTCATCAGCTACCCAGTTGCACCGCTCATTTCCTGAAAAGGCATTTGACATGTTTGTTTATTTCACCTGCTTTCAGAAGATGTGAAAACTCTTGTTTCCCTGCTTTGACCCCCCAATATCCCCAAATATATCCACATATATCCACATATGATCTAGAATCTAGACCTATAGACCAACATGTAATGCAACCAGGTGCAACCATCAACGCTTCCAAGGTCGAGTGCCCGACATTGCCAATGGCCTCAATGGAGCAAATCCAAAGTGGCTCAGCGGTGTTCCCTATGGAGTTTGATGATGGGAACCGCTTCCAAAATTGAGATTCCGCACCCGTATTTCAAGTGAACATCTTTGAAAAAAGGTAATTTCCATAGTGTTTCCCGTGGTTTCCCCATCGGATCATACATGGTGATTCCCATTGGGAAATCACTATAGGGGCTCACTTCAAGCAACCAGCATCCAGGTTTACGAGCGTGCGACTCCTGCTGCTCATTGCGCAGATCCAGCCCCAAGTACTGCAAGCCATTACGGTTGCTCGGATACGGGCCACCAGGGGAAGCGGGTGGGTGTGGTCCATGGGGGATATGGCCATAATGGGGAAATCCCAATGAAAAACCGATGATGAACCATCAGACAAACCCAACTGCCCAAAACTTTGCAGATCCATCATTAGGCGGCCGGCTGGTTGTTCATTCCCTCTTTTCACCAGGTGGGTTCGACACTCTACATGACAGTGAGGGAGAATGTTGCCAAATTTCACATGGAGGAGCTCGAAAGTTCATCAACCGGCTCATTGAACTGCTCAGCATTGTCAAATAAGCTCAAGAGGCACTTTGTTTTCAGGTCTTGATGCATTTATGCATCAAAAACTCGCTGGGAGTGAAGTCAGTGAACACCCGGCTCTTTCGTTTCAGGAGGAATTTAGCAGGTGGACTTTCACCAAGAAGCAAGCATTGCTGGCTCATGCAGCAGCGTTGAATGTGGAATGCAACTGGATGCAATAGTCAGCAAGTCGGGATTGAGATGTTCAAGACATTTTGGACATGACTTTCAGAAACTTGCGCTTCAAATAGATCTTGCTGTTGGCACACTCCATATTGTTTAAAATCCTCCAGAGTTCTAAGGCCTCATCGTTGGGTGTCTTGGCATGGTTTAGCGCACTAGAACCCCCCAAAGTCCCAGACCAGATCGGTTTTTGCAGCCAGATTTGTCAACAGTCTGCTCTGGTGATCAACATTACTGGTGCTTAGCGGGGAATTTTCGGGAACGATCCCACTAAATCACTCGTAATGTCATCATCCCAGCAACCCCCAGCAACCCCCAGCAACCCATCCAGCAACCCATCCAGCAACCTACGTAAAACGCACCAGTAAGTCGAATCCCAGATATCGACCCCAAGGTGTTTAACATGGCTTCTTTGGAGACCCGACAGCAAGCGAGACAAGGCCTTGAAAGTGTAAGCCTCCTATAGCATCCTGGTACATTGGGGTTTCCTACAATGGGGGCACCCCAAAATGAACGGTTTACAGTTTACATTGGAAATTCTCAAGAACAAATAGATGATTTGGGGGTACCCCCATTTTAGGAAACCACTAAATATGAAGTATTGTGTGCTCTGTGGCATCATAAATTTTGAAGACCGGTTTCTCCATGCCAAATGCCAGGCGCTCATGATGGATCTGAAGGCAGATGACGGCGGTCTGAGTCCCAGCAGTTATTCTTGAGGGGAGGCATCTCTACAAAAAAGAGGGAGGATTTTGCAGCTACACAGTATGGATCAAAACAAAAGCCAGAATTGAACTCTTCAATATGATGCAGAACCAAATTAGTGCTCCACCGGAAACTCTATTCTGAAGCCTCCGATGCGCGGAAGTTAAGATGAGCCAAGCATATTTTGCACCCGCTCAGTTGCACAAGCTCGGGAAGTCGAAGATGGATATGAGCCATTGCTTGATGCGTCGATCTGTAGCTAGGTAGTGTTATGTAGATATATGTAGATATACAAGGAGTCCTCTCGCCAAGAAACTGATCCTGACTTTTGTCCAGCTTCGTAATATGAAAACCCTGCTGTCTGTCTTTGGGTGAAAAGGGCTCCGTTACAACACGTCTTTTGCGGGACTTGTGGAAAAGCTGGTGGCACAAGTCCCCTGAAACTCTGTGTTCGAAAGGAGAATGGGTTGAAGTTCGACAGATTTAGACCAGATCCGTTTGGGGCTAAAAATTTTGGCCACACGGAGCTGATGTGCATTGATTTCAAGCAAAAACAAATGCCGCGCTGGGAGATCTTGGGAGGGTCCCTCGTTCCATGGCTGGGCCATGCTTAGATCCACCAGATCCCGGCCGCAGCTGTTCTGGCACCATGGAGCTGGCCTTCGCTGCATCGCGCCCTGTGGCGCAGCTGAGCGGCGGTGTGAAAGGGGTGAGTCAGCCATGGCAACGGGTGAAAACACACAGGACACAGGCCCTTGGGGAAGCTGAGAGGCTTGAGATGCCTGAAAGATCTGCGATACACAATCTTATCAGAATGTTGGAGCTTCGCTAATTGCATGAGATGTTCTGTTCTTAAGGTTTTCAAAATACACTTCCGCATATGATGAAGTTGCAATGCTTTGCAAACTGTAGACCTGTCAGAAAAGCTCACCTCTCTTCCAGGTCAATGCAGAGCTCGCTGGCGCTAGCGTGTTGGCATCGGCCTGTGCATATGCCAAGGTTGGGACTGCTGCCTGGAGTTTTTCAGTTTTTTTCCCTCAATATCCTTGTGAATTGCTTGAATATGGGCTGCTGGCATATGTGCTAATGACATCTAATGACAGGTTTGACCTTGGTGTTCTAAAGCCATTGTTGTGGATCTCTCTTGCGGATCAGAAACAACATTTCCAACAAAACACCCCTCTCAAACATTTCTCAATTGGATGTCAGGCTTCAGGGTTGAGATTTAGGTCAAGGCATCCTCCAAGAAATGGGCGTGGATCAAACTTATCATCCAAAACGTATGATCTGCTGATATGGATGATATATGGATGATATATGGATTGATATATGGATTGATATATGGATTGATATATGGATGATTTGCATGATATTTCCTGCACAGATGAGCCATTTCGCCATTGCCCCCATGACCCGGCCCATCTCTGGCCGCATCAGGCCCGAAGCAAGCGCGGAGGGCGGAGGGCAGCACCTGTCCGGTCAAATCCTGTCCGGGTGCAGCGCAGGGCCGCGGCGGACTTGCAGGGTTTGGTTCATTTGGGAGGCTGGACAGAAACATCAGAAACCCATGGATGGTCGTTTGTCGTTTTTCGCTTGTCAGTTCTTGTTTGCTTTTGGATTCATAGCTTTTCGATGAAGAATTTTCATCATTGCTGGTGCTGTAGCCATCTGATCTTTGTCAAATTGCGCCGTTTCACTTAAGTTGCAACAGCAACAGCCATCGTTCGAAACACCCCTGGAGGCACAGCTTCAGAAAAGGCTTTGGCGGTGAATCTGGATTCCATGTTCTATGGCAGCTTTGCAGAGATCGGTGCTGGTCAGGAGGTCTGGGTCTGAAAAAAGGGCCATGGGGGCAACGCCCTAAAATGGCTAGTTTGATATAGTTGAACGGGGAAGATGATGATAAAGGATGGGATTTAGTGGAACATAGCGTGGAACATGTCAAGTAATGTCGTCAATTGCGCCTGAAAGGCCGTGATGTAGTCCAGGATGCCAATTCTGGGGCAATGCCTCATGGTAATGAACTGAGGACTGCCGGAGTTTCATACTCACATATATGTCACATATATGTCACATATACTCACCCAATCAATTCTTGGCGAAACGATGTGGATTTGCCTTTCGTGGCAGGTGTCACGCACTTTTCTGCAAGCTGGGGCTGCCGCTGGCACTGTGGCGCGATCTATCTCAGCTTATGATATGAAGATGTCTGATGTCAACTACGGCAAGGCATCCCTGGGCCTTGAGTTGACAGCGAGGCATAGTGAGGTAAAGGAACAGGTCTTATTGCATACCAGCCTTGTCTGAAAAGGGTCAGGGACAAGCGGTTTCTATGAGTACTATGAGTTCCCTTTGTAGACTGGCGAATATCATGAACTGCAGCACGTAGAAGATTGTGGAGCTGCTGTTGCAGGCGCAGCGCTATGTCACCCAGGAGCGTTTGAAACAGATGCTTGACACAGAGTACAACATCGTCGAGAAAAACTTGCGATCTCTGAAAGGCGGGGACATCGTTCTTTTTTTCCCATGATATCATGCTCCGTGGCTATGTCATTGACTTTCAGCGTAGTAATGCTTCCAGCATCTTGCAGCATTCATGGTCCGGAGTAGTTCCCACCAGAATGCAATAGAGCTTTCCTCACCTTCAGCCGCAGGTGAGGATGCACGTTTCTTCGCCTTTGCTGACACACTGGCGGCCAAGGCCTTCAACTCGAATCGTGAATGCGAAGGCGTGGGATCAAAAGCTGGGACGGCCATTGCCACCGCCGTGCCGCTATTGGCCAGGCTGGATAGGCCTCACGTACCAAGCGAAACCCAAGGAAGCAAGGAGTACTGTGCAACTTGACCTTAGAACTGAGCTGCGTAGCTGGTCATTTGGAAAGAAGCGCATGTATTGTGCTGGGTTCGAATTGCAGTGCGCTTTTCTTGGGTCAAACTCCAAGTTCAAGCTGCAAGAGTTCGGGACAAAAATTGATACCTAGTTAGAAGATGCTTTTAGATATTTTCATATATTTTAGTATATTTTCTATATTTGCTATGAGCAACATCAGCATAAGGATGTTGATCGCATGACCATGAAGACATCCCGGAATTATCCCGAAGAAAACAGCTACAAGTAGCGTTTCAGATAGCTTTGCGGAGGTTTGACCTATGAAGCCCAGGATTCTACACATCAGAATGAGTCAACCAACTGCGCAGTTACAGGGTCAAGAAATTGGAGTCTTGGGCACCTTGGTTGAAGCAAGGGTTTTGATTTGCGAAGATGTCCGTTTCACTTTGCCTGTTAAGAAGTTGGCATTTACAAGTGGCAATCAATTCGTAAAATCAGAAATATGATGTGTTTCCATGTGAATCCAGTATCCCATCCCAGGCACGAACTTGATCTATTTGTGCAAGAGCTTGTACCAGTCTCAGAGATCAAGCATGGCCATTGAGCACAACTTACCAGGCTGAGTGGCTGAAGCCGAGGACAGATCCATATCTCATCACCTCCTTTCTCCTGGATGGCATGTCTATCCGCCACTTGGCAGCTCCGGCCGGGCTGTCACCATCCCACTGATTTGATCGGCGATCTGATGCCCAGGTGACGACGAAGGTGGCGGTGGCCGAATTGAAATCGACTTCGTGGATTTCCAGGCCTTGTCGCGTTGCCGCGTTGCCGCGTTGCGTCGCGATGCGGTGTTGCACTGTGTTAGGCATTCTTTTTTTGCAGTTTCATCGTCTTTTTGATTTCTGCTTCTCTGCTTTTTGCTTCTCCGCTTTTATGATACAGCTGCACCCTGCCCCCAAGGCCCCTCCTCCTGCTCCATCTTTGCGCTTACCATAAGAAGGTGGCAAAACCACCTGCTGAACCCGGTTCTTTCGAGCCCAAAATGAACCGAACCATAAACCAACCCGCAATAAATTTGAAACCACCCCTATATAGATCTTAAACCAACTCTAAATAAACCCTAAAGCAACCCTAAATAAACCCTAAACCAGCCCTGAATAATAAACCCCAAACAACGGTAAATAGATCGTAAAAGAACAGGAAATAAATAAACCCTAAACTCAACCCTAAATAGTTCCTAAACCAACCCTGAAGAAACCGTTGAAATGGCAGCTTCCTGCTCTGCAAATAGCACGGAAAACGGACGAAGCAGGAAATCCCCAAACAAATCCCAAAACGGCAAACAATTCGTCAAACAATTCCGGACCCCTTTACTTACTGTAGTGTGGTCTGATATTTCTGGCCGGTACAGTCTTCTGAATGTATTTCTACAGATTCTACAGTCTACCATTCTGTCTAGATTGGGGGGTTGGAGGGCTTAAAACTTAGGGCTTAGTGTAGACTGGCTAGATCCGGTTGATGCACAGGTCCCTGTCTCACCCTTTGTGTAATTCTGATCATAGCACGGACCTCCTGGTTTCGTTGCTCAGGGTCCCGCCTTCAAGGGTGTAGATCCTCGCTTGGTGGCCTTCCGCCTGATCCAACTGCGCATTGCCAATGGAGCGGCATGGTGGCAGCCGGATGTTGACCCTTTAAAAGAATTCGACCTGGTCTTGAATCTTTGGAAACAGCGGATCACTGTGAGAAGAAACAAATAAAGACATAGATGATGCTTCATCTATACATGAACATTACCTACTATATAAATGCAGTAATATCATGTAATATCTAGATTCTAGATAATATTTTCAACATAATGTCCACCGGCTGCTGAAGGTTTGTTAATCCTCTGAGGTGATCTTGGAGCCCGGCAGCGATGGAAAGTACAAGATGGCCGTGCCCAATAACTTCCTCTACAAGCGTCCAACGCCTTGGACCAAGTGGACTGACCTATCATGGTGAGGCGAGGTTCAAGTCTGATTTTGGATCCTTGCAGGATAACAGGCATCGATACTGATTGCTTTCCATTTTCCAGTGATGGTGTAAAGACCTAGACAATTTTGGGCACCCTTAAACGTGAGATACATAGTTACAATGTTACATAGCAGTTTCTGGGATTTTTCTGGTTGGGATTGACAACATGCCAGTTGATCCATGATCCCCTGCCATCCGTTGCGCACCTAAAACTTGGTCGTGTCGACCAGGTGATTGTGGAGAGATCACGTTTCAGGCCCCCCACTCGGATGCACAAAGAGGTCATCGAGGCTGGGATGGTCATAGATCACCCTATATTTAGAAAGCGTGGTTTAATTCCGTTTCATTATGTTGTTCAATGAATTGGTGGATGCCGAAAAAAAATTCTAAGCCACAAGGTTTGTTGTTATGGCCGTTGTTGCAGGGTGGTGATTAAAGGTTTATGATGTTTGATGCCTTTGTATGCCATGGTATGCAATGTCAACTGTGGTTAAGATGCCTGTTGAAGGCTGCCGCAAGGAAGCTGAAATCCGAAGGCGACACTGACAAAGAAGCCTTGAAGATCATGAATCTGCAGTGCCCAAATTGCAGAGATGTCTTTTTTTTTGACACAGAAATCTGTATAGCGAAGGGTGCCCTTTTTTTTTTGGACATGGATGGGCTTGGTATGGCTTGGTTGTGATGCTACAAATTCATCGCTCCAGATCGCCCAGGATCGATGATCTCACAGTGCCAACCGGATGGCAGGAAACGAAAGAGAGATTGGAGCGGATGAAGGCCATCGCCGCTGCAGACACTGCTCGAAGCTTTGGCAAACTTTGCTTGGAAAGGGGGGTGCAAAAATCTCTGGATAAAGTCTGCGGTAGATTTTGCACTCTTCCATACTTCACCCATTTATATCATTAAATAGTGATCATATATCATCATATATCATTCCCTTTCTTTGTAGTACATATTCCATTATTCCATATTCCATACATCCATTTGTTGCACTTAGTCATAAGTTCCGATGATGGCACCGGTTAAGGAGATGGACTGCTGAGCAGGGAAGAGTTCATGACCTTGACCGGTGAGATGGAAGAGGAGCGCTGGGGAAGCTCACTTTTGGGTTGTGGTTGTCATAACCCATCCATAGATTTCACTGACGGTGACCGACCCTGCAGGAAGATGCAAATGCCCTCTTCAAGGAGTTATCTCTGGGAGGAGATTCGATTTCCGTCGATGCAGCTGGGCATAAGATTGCCACTTTTCATGTGGACACACCCCGTCTCGGTTTGAGGTTCCCATGGCTTTCTGATTCTGACGGCCTCAGGCACTCGTGAACATCACCAATGGTGGACACAGCGACTCTCCTCATCTGTGGCCTTTGTTCCCGTGATGTGAAACGACTTTCCGGAAGTCAATCACATTTTGATACTGGGGCAGACGGTTGAAAGGAACATGACATAAAATGACCTGTTTAGATTTGCTGTCTGAGGTGTCTTGGCAACTGACTTCATTGATCGAATGGAGATGCTGCAAGCACTGAAGTATCCAATTATTCTCTCCAATTTCAAGAGGCTGGTGGGTCAAGGGTGCACAAACAAGTCCAGCATTTTGCCTTTCGATGGCAGGATTGGCAGGAACCACTTGTAAGCTATCCAAACCGAGACGATCTTTGTGTGGCAGCAATGGCATGACTTGAAGTAACCTGAGTTGCACTCGTTCGCTTCAGTACGCCGCTTCAGATGAACTCTGTAGTATAGATGATCTTCCTAGTCCATGCAAACACATGATGTGACACCACATCAGATTGGCAGATTTGGCAGCAACTCCCGGTGTTTCAACATGTTTCAACAGCATCATGCAGCGTTCATCTTCGGATTAACGGAAGCCTGTCAGGAATCACCAGCTGGTGCGATATCTCTCCAGCCACTTGGAAGAGACACGATGGATGCATCCCATGACACAATGACTGAGCTTTCTTGGAATCACGGAATCTTGAAGGTTCTGAAGGGGCTATGGGGAAAGCATATGAAAGTCTGGTGTAGAAAGAACTTGTGGATTCGATTCTCAAGTTCTTGCTACCTTTTGCAAGCTAGCAGCAAACCGAAATGGTCTGGTCCACCCAAACTTGATGGTGCATGGTCAGATAAATGAAATCGCTTGGTGCGCTACTCGTTGGCTCAGGGTACACCGCTTTGCCGATCATCATTGCTGTCGGAGGCGCACTTGGGCTCACTTGGGCAGAACAATCTGGAAGGGGTCAACTCAAGATAACTCAAGCTCAGTCAAGCTGACTTGAACATAGCTGAACCAACAAATACCGACAAATACCAATTTATTCCTGAATCTTTGAGATGCAATAGAAATACTCAGAAAGGCGACATGATTTGTTGATCAGCACAGCTTGAAGGTGGCGGTTACGATCTTCAGCGTGCACTCTTCAATCCCAAATCCTACTCGAACGAAGAGGCTTGCACTTTGTGGACGGAAGGCGGAAGGCTACAGTAAGTGGTGAAAGGTGTTCCCTTTGTATAGAGCAAATCCCAAAAAGGGTGTCCGTGAATCCAGAGTTGCATGAGGATTTACGTTAAAGAGATCTCAGCAATGAACATGGGCAGAGAAGATATCCAAGTTTGCAAATCACATGCTCTCACAACCATGAATTTCCAAGTCTGAGATAGACATGTATGACATATCCACTAGGATAAAACGTGCAACAAAAGAAAGGCTGTGAATCCATGGCTGTGCTAACAATCTGACCACCGTATCGGTCATGATGGAGGGCTCAGACTTCTCGCAGCTGAATCAAGTACGTTAAAGATGTTTTGTGTGGATACCACACCAATCCATACCATATCTGTCACAAAACGATCTCTGCAAGACGGAATTCAAATATGTTTCTGCAAAAAAACATACACCTTTGGATAGTGCAAACACATCTGGAATGCGGAGTTCCATCGGGGTAGACGCACCTAGGCTCACCATACTGTAGCCGTGCGTACGGAAGTCCATGCGTTTTTTTCTTTAAACAATGTGTGATCATGCTTCCAGCACAATATGTTGTCATTGGCATAGAGGCGATGGGGAACTTTTCTATGTTTGTTTTGTGCCACGACGAGAACATGAATTTGGGGTTTTTAATGTCAGTCGGACGTGTGAACACCCTATGACAAACTCTCGCCACTGCGCAGGGTGGTATGCTTCGAGCCTTTGGAAATCTCTTCGAGAGCAGATGCCTGACTTGGAAACACTTGGCCTTTTCAATTGCTTGTCACACAGCGTTCTTCACCTGCATGCATTTTCAGTCGAATCCAACCTTTGCACACAACCACAAGTTGTCACAAGTAATTCAGAGAATGAAACTTGAATACAGGAGCACAATCAGATGATTCCGTGGACAGCAAGACCCAACAGAATCTGCATTCCTATTTGGTGTCTGTTCTCGGCTCGAGGATCAAACCGGATTTTCACTTATCCCGCCATCGATGAAGAGGGCAATGTGTCACCTTGCGATCTGCCAGATGGTAACGAACAACAGCTCTATCAATACTTGGAATCCATAGGACCGCAGCCGTTACAAACTGCACCACTTGCAGCAACCAATTGACTGCTATTTAAGAATCTATTTGCAGTCAATTGACATTGGTTAATGTTAATGATTAATTGGGTATGGATCAATACCTATTAATACCATTTTTAGGGGGATGAACATCCATTTACCAGCCAATTATTAAATGATTAATTAATCTATTTGACATTCCACCCGAAATCTTCATTGCTGTTTTTAAGACATATGTTGCTTCCTGCAGGAAGCATCGTTCCGCTGGGCAACGCCTGGGTGGGAGTTGAAGCCAGAGATCCCGCCAAAAACAAGGCCTTCAGATACGGCAGCGTTGCTTGGCTCAAGATGCTGATGGGACCAGGATGGCCCAGGCCCCAGAAATGGGTAAATTGCTGGGTAAAATTTCGCAAGGGTCCCAAAAAAAAACAGGATTGCTCCAACTTGCTCCAACCCCTGGTAGGTACAATCATTGCAAAAAAGATGGACAGTTGATGCTAAAAAACCTTTCGCTGTCCAATGAATTTTCCCCTTGTGTCTTGGGTGTTGGGAGCACCCCTGTATAAGGACATGGTGAATGTGTGTATAATATATGCTGCAGTGCAAGATTTTCAACGGCAACTTGCAACATCACCCAGCAGAAAGGCTTGTGATCCAAGATAATGTTCTGAGGAATCTGTGACGCGTCAGATCAAGAGCGGCTCATCGGAATGGGCTGCTTGTTTCAACCAGTGCCTTTTCACTTTTTTGGGCGTCTTGGGGAGACAACATCACATGACATGCAGCATCCTGCGTTTCTGGAACCTGACATATTCCATACATGGCAAGGCACACCCAAAAAACATCTTACTACGTCGCACTTGCGCTCTCCCGCCAGTCACATGCGTCTTGCCGAGGAAGAGTATGTGCCTGAAGGTGTTGCGGCCATTTGTAAGTCTCACGCCTGGTTCTCCAGAGTGACAGCTGGAACACCGATTTCTCCAACTGTGTACAGATTCCTGAACAATTTGAAGTGAACCTGCATCGGAGCAATGCTATGCTTGTTGAAGCCAATATTCAATACAGTTGAAAGGATTCTGAACTTCTGCTGAATTGCTTGATCCAAAGTTGCAAGCACAGCATCAGATGCATCAGTGGAATATCTTTTTTCGAATCGTTTTAGGTATAGAAAAACATGACCTGCTTCTGGATTGGAAAGAAAATCATCTTTCTGGGGTACTGATAGTTTCTGGGGTACTGATAGTGCAAACTGGAGTTTATCCGTGTGTGAATCGACTCAAGAAGATCACCCCGGGAGCAAATGCCGCTGTCTTCAGCTTCAGCAGAAGACGATATGTCAAGAACTGTCAGAGTCGCCAAGGCTCCACAAGAACATGATCCAAACACCCGCACCGAACAGTGACCAACCAATCAAGAGACCAGCCGTTCATAGTTCAGCAACCACGGGTCATTACACAAACACAAAGGAACCAAAAGGATCAAGTGAATCAAGTTGCAAAGATCCTGAAATTTTGAAGATGAGCAAAAGCCTCATGAAACTTTTTGTAGCGCTGTGCCCTGGCTGAAAGTTGGTTTCTGTGGAGAACGCTTGAGCAGCGGCTTTGTGGATGCCGGTGTTTATTTTGTGGGGCTGAAGCAAGTGGACTGTGGACTGAATCTTGGTGAGAATCAGGTTGCTTTGGGGCAGCACGCTGGCCGATGAGGCCCCCGGGGTTGCCTGTTTCCGGCTGAGAAATGCTTAAGGAACATGTTATATCAATGTCATTGAAATCCACTGACCTCAGGTTCCATGGCCCAGCACAGTGGGACTTACCATGACCCTGCGATGTAGAGCCTTGCAGGCCGCAGAGGCTGCAGGTGAGCCTGGAATGGCTGAAGGGCATCAAGGGCCACCGCCTCCGGTACCTGATTTGACAGAGGAAGACCTTCGTATCTTGGTGAAGGGCTGGTGGGGATGGGGGTTGGAACGGGGGAACGGGGGTGGTGATGGTGCAGGCAATTGTAATTGCTAGGCGAGCCTCTGAAACCGGTGAGCCCGGTGAGTGGAAAGCCTGGGATCATGTCAGCAGTTGACTCCCGAATTTGAAGCTGATCGACAGCCACACCAAACAAGTCTGGGTGATCTTTAGCGATCTTTCCCAGGCAAGTTGTTCCCCTTGATGGACAAGAACGGTGATGTCAAAATTTCTATGGATCCCCAGCTGCAGAGTCTTGTGTCCATTGGTTTCACAGAGCTGGAACACGCCAACAGCAGCCCATACCTTCCGTCGGCCGAGTGTTCCTGACAGAATTTGAGGATGAGCTCAGAGACTTCCACTTCTACACATCAATCAGCCATGCAGTGAAGTTTTTCAAAGTACCTGCCTGGATGGATAGCAACAAGGAGTGATATGGCTTGTGGAGCAAAGCAGGCTGTTTGCATCATGATCCTCAGTCAAGTTTTCCAGCATACCAGTCTGCCGATTCCATCATTACAGTAGTATATATCTATAATTTAAATTAATTTAACATATCTATATATATATAATATATATATATATTCATTATTCATTGATTATCGGTAGGACTTAATAGATGTTACCCGATTGATACTAGTTGTCGAATGGACCCAAAATGCCAGTGACTTTGGTCCACACTTGCGAGGACAACAAGTTGAGCTTGGAAGAATTGCAGGAAGCCAACCACAAGGCACGGTCTCGGTGAATCGGATTGGCTCAATGGGCCAAGTCTGGTGCTGAAAGCCGCAGCAAAATGAAGTGGAATTGATTGCGAGGCTGGTATGAGCATGCCGCATATCGACCCAGATGCCTGAAGCTTGGGGATGAGATCATGCTGTCATGCCAAATGAAGGGCAGATTCGTCACACTGCATCCGCTGCCTGCGAGGAAATCAAGAAACAGTTTGCAAAGGAGGAAGCAAAATTCAAAGAGCTTGACAAGGAAAAGAAGGGTGCACTTCGCCTTAATTCCATCACAAGATCGAAATCCACAGACATCCTGTGCCTACATTAGCAGCTCTTGACTTCACTTCAGCATTCCTTGTGTGCAGTCTTGCAAAGAACTGACAGTATACTGACAGCTCCAAGGTACTTGAGAAGGAAGATGTGATTCTCTTCTTCCACCCGAATCTCGACCCTAGGGTCTGTATCTCAGAGATGGTGCAGCTTTGGCGTGTTTGGGGATGCGAATTTGGGATCGGTTTCCCATGGAAAAAACAACCGAAACTCTGGACATCTCTGGACCACCGATCCGATCGCTGCTTGAGGTGTCCATCATTGAGACGAAACATCTCATGGAGATCTCAGATTTTGATCAGGATGGTGTACTGTCCAAGCACCTAGGCTCAGTTGAGCTGCACCCAAGACCCATGTTGGTGGATGTTTTTCGCTTTGCTTAATTGGATTAGACAGTTTTACTGTACTATTGCTACATATTGTTACTATCTGGTTGGATGCTTACTGCACTCTACTGGAAGCCGGATCACGGATCACTTGGCGGTGAAAACCAGGGTACCAGGGTCTTGATGGTGGATTTTTCGAAAGACAACATCTTGGTGACCCTGAAAGAAGTACTACTACTTTCACAGATGGTGCCACCTAAGACACCGAAGATCAAGTCTGAGAAATCAGACAGTCAATGCTTGCGACACCCTTTGCTGCCTAGGGCCGAGTTCGAGGCCAAGGAATTTCCTGCTGAGTTTGCAAAGGTGGACACGAACTCCGCTGCTTGCATGATTTTGTTGGGACTAAAGGCAGCCAAGTGGCCCACTAAAAGATCTAAAAGAAAAGTGGTCTGCATGGTGTGATATCATCTGGCGAGAAATCGGTATAGATGGTGCTCATGGCAAGCTTTAGGGATCTATAATATGTAATGGGATTTGACTTTGACACGTCTTGACATACTGCAAACTATCAAAGGTTGCTGATTTTGGCTAAGGATGGGAAGATAGACACTGAAGAGATGCACGAGTGGTCGGCAGGCCTCTTGGAGTTTGTCGATATCATGATGCGAAGCTTGGACCAGAATGATGAACATGGGCTGGGGCAACACCTTAGCGACATTGGACTTGGGGGAAGCCAAACTGGGTGGCACTCCTAACCCCTCCCGGTTTCGGTGGTCACTAATTTTGCACATTTTTGCAACCTGTTCACATCTATCAAACAGACCTAGTGCAGTAGGATGTTCTCACCTCGACCCTTTCCATGCTGGGTTGCTATGGCATCATCTTAGGAGTGGAGCAGCTCGCTGACCAAGACAAAGATCACGGTCTTTCATTGGATGAGCTTCTGAAAGCACGGGAAGCCATCTCCAAGGAAGGCGGGAGGTGTGAGCTGGTTGTGGTAGAGCCTGATAGAGGTTACATTGCGATGATTTGTTGAGGTGATAGAAAGTCCAAAGCAGATATTTTTAAACTGTTATAAACTGTTTCAACACATTTGAAACTGTTGCACGAAATCGACACTGAAGAGTTTGACCAGCTCGTGTGGCCTGATTTGGCTTCATCCCAGATGTCTCCTCCACTTTCCTTGTGCACAAGGCGTGGGCAACGTCTTCCGCAGCTGGACAGCCATGCACAATGAGTTGTAGTGCGGAGACTGCTGGGCAGCGGTGATTCAAAAATCTGATGGGACCAGAACGAGCAGAGTTTGTCTTGGGAATCGGCCAAGAAAATCCCATCCCACAACCGTTTTCCGGTGGAAGCCAGGAATGGGAACTCTTTGATGCCAACCCTTCATACGACATGAACCATTCGCCTCTCCTGAATGGCCCCTTGCTGTAGCTGCTGCATTATGAGATGCATTAACACCTTTTGTCATGGAACACACGACTGAAGAAGTCTACCTTTGGACTCACATCAGTCTATGCTGGAAAAACTATGAAAAAAGTAGATCCAAACATTGTCAGCTGCTTTGCAAAGATGTGGAACCATGTTTAGACGCACTTCTGAAGAAACTGCACAAAACAAGCAAATGTTTGCCACCCTTGCGTAAGCTGAAGACGCCATGTTGCGGATAGGCTGGTGCGTGGGTGCTTTGTGCCATTGTGAAATCAGGTATATAGATTTCCATTGGGGCAGTGTCATGGGAGCATCTTGGGAACTGAAACTATCTGAAACCGGCTGGACAGCAAGCTTTCCAGTCTATCGCTGACGCGACAGCTGCCATCCTTCACATAGAGTGATATCTTGGATATTTTTGGATAGATATGTGTAGGTCATCCTGGGTCATCCTTGTATCTTTAGATATTTTAGATGCACCCTCTGGGGACATCCCAAGTGGATCCATCTCCCGCATTCCGGCGATGCAGTCCTGTTGCAATGCGCGGTGGGCGTTGCCCGGACCTTTTCTCAAGGCATCTTGGATGGAACGGCCTGCCATTTTTTTGGGGCATGGCTGGCAGTGGATTAATCATGATTAATCCATTGAAATGGTGATCATCTATTCATCTATGATTGATGGGACTTTAATATATTTTTTTGGGATATTGGTTTGCCTTTGATCCACTGAACGCTTCTGCTTATGCATCCCCTGTTTGACAGTGTGCCAAGGTGAAGACTGCGACTCGCTGCCCCTTTTGGTGGAGAGCATTGCTGAGAAGGAGCTGGGCAGACTAGGAAATTCGTAAAGGTGTCAGATCAAATGCTCCAGGTATCTCCAAGTCTTTTTGGCCAAAGACTTTTGCCTTGGTTGCAGCCCTTTGCTTGATCGATTGCGGTGACTAGGCTTTGGACATGGCAATGCGGCCAGGATTTCCATCCGACTCAAAAAAAAACCATAGCACTCTCCCCAAACTGCATGTGCATAACTAACTTGCTTCAGATCCCTGGGCAGGACAATGCGCCTCTCAGATGCAGCAAGTGTATCATCCCTTCTTTTTGGGCCCACCCCGTGACCTTGGTTGAGATGGTTGGGAACCCAGGTCCCTGGCAGCCGAGTGTCGGAGACATCTGGGGTTGAGAGACTGCGAGCAGCTGTTGCTGTCCGTGGGCAAAGGGCCCTGGGATACGGAGGCCGCCGGCAGTTTTGGGCAAGGGGTCATTGAGCAGCCATGTTGTGGCCATAAACCCCAAAACCTCTTCTTATCATTCCTTATCTAGCTATTTTTTAAAAGTTGTCTGTGTTGAGTTGCTGACTACTAGATTTGTTTTTTTTGGCATGGATCCTGTTCCAAAGCGTGCAGGTACGACAAAAAGCCTGCAAGAAGATTGCAGATTTACTCCAGTCGCGTACCCTTCTGGACACTCCATTGGATAAGGCAATCCTGACTGCACTTACAACATCCTACAACACACAGTGTTGATCTGTTTGTGATCTTCTGCCATTGATTTGCTCATCAGACACAACCAGAGTTGAATATAGTTGAATAGTCTTGATATGTCCGAGGTCGTAGCCACCAAAAGTCCGGAGCCGACAGAGGAGCCGGCGACACTGGAAACGGTCAGCCCAGATGCCCTGGCGACGCTGGCGCCAGTGGAACTGCCCACGGTGGCACCAGTGGAGCTGGTGACGGTGGCGCCGCTGCCCGAAGTTGAGCTGGTGACGGTGGCGCCAGTGGAAGTTCCTAGCCTCGCACCGCTGCCTGCTGTATTGCTTCCCACTGTGGCACCAGCAGCTGCTTCTGCTGAAGGAAGCAGGGGTGGGGTGGTGGAAGTGGTTGTTATTGATGGCGGCTCCAGTTCCATTGCAGAGGTGGTGGATGCAAGCAAGGTATCGGCATGTATCAGCTGTTTCTGTCAAAACTTAGCAGCTTAACATCAGAGCAATGGTCGCAGTACTCAAATAAGCAGCCAGAAAGCCAATCAAAATCACAGCATCCATGTTTTAAATTAAAGACACGATCAAGCCTTTGAGAAATATCAACTCTGCCGCTGCACAGTGTCGAGCTTTGTTGCTGTCAGGAGAAGAGGCTGAGGACGCGGAAGCCAGTCAGGCCCAACAGCCAGGGGATTTAGTGCATATCCTGCATCAGACTTAAGACGAATCACGCCTTCCTTCCCCGTAGAATTTTCGATTCCAATCTATATTTGGCCATTTGAGAAGCAAATCCACGTTTGTAGAAAGTTCAGCTACTTTTTGGTTGACCAAATCACCATGAATCACAACTAAACATCACAAGACCATATTAAACCATATTAAACCATATTAAACCATATTAAACCATATTAAACCATATTATATAAACCATATTAAACCATATTAAACCATACTAAACCATACTAAACCACCATTTTCCATCATTTTTGTAGCTTATAACCGCATGTTTGACAGCCTCAAATTGACCCCCCGAAGGCGCAGGCGACCCCTGGACTTCTCAATGCGCTGGGGCAGACCTTTGTGAGTCCCGCGGCGGAGCTGACGCCAGAGGAGCGAAAAGGCGTGCCGCCGGGGTCCCATGGGTAGTCACTGGTAGTCCCATATTGTAGAAATGGCATGAAATGGCTTATATCAATGGATTGGCTTAAGGGAAAATCTACAGGAAACCATGGATTTTCCAAGAAAGATGGAGGTTTCCTAAGATGGGGGGTTACACCAAAATGGATAGTTTATAGTGGAAAATCTACCTATAAATGGATGATTTGGGGGTACCCCAATTTTAGGACGCCATATACCCATATATTGATGGCACGTAAGAATGGTTCCGATATGTTACGTTTACCACGATTTCGGGGGGATGATCTGTCATTCTTTTGGATTTGAGTTTCTAAGTAGTAACGGGGTCCTCCAAGAGGACTGAACCATTCCTTTTGGCAGGAGTGTCTTCATGGCAACTGAGATGATCAGCATATATGAATCGATAGCCCCCCCCAATTCAGATGTCTGTGTCCTGGAATTAGAACTTTTTCCACCAACATATCCAGAGAACTTGCATGGCTCCCCCGGCTGTCAGGGCAAGAGGACGAGGAGAGCTGATAGCTGTCCTTTGTTTCTGTTTGAACAGGCTCCAGTGATTTGAACCCCTCAAGGCAGTTCTTTTTGTTTTGGGACTTTGGAGTATTTCTGTAAATATATATATGTATAATATTCTAATTCTATATTATATATATTATAATATAATCTTCCCTGTTTCATCCAGATGGCAGTTTTTTGTTGTCCCCACGAGGATCGACCTTCGTGGCTGTCGCCGTCAGCGGACCTCCAGAATCCGCTGGATGCGGTGGACGCTGCGCTCCAACCGATCCTGACGACCGCGGCGCCTCTGAGACCTGTGGCGGAAGCGCTGAGAGGTGCTGCGAATGGCCTGCTGAAAGGCTTGGCGGAGAGTGAGCAGACCCAAACAGGCCGGGAGATGTGCAAGAGAGCTCACAACCTGGCCAGAATGTGAGGATGGCGACTCAAGAGGTTTGGGAAATCAAGTTGAGTTAGCATATTTCAAACCAATCAGACAATCTTGATGAGATTCTGCGAGTGGAAGGCAAACCCGCAATGTCTAGCAGCAATATCTAGCTGCATAGCACAAGTCATAGGAGCCTCAAAAGCGTTATTAACTCTCCAGTCAACAAACCTAGCACCGGAGAATCCTCCATGTTTGACCAGTCTGTAGATGATTTCCTGAGTTAAGGAATGGAATTTCATTGAATAAGAATCAACAATTCCGTCCACTCATATTCTGCATTGGTTGACCCAGTGTACTGCTGAGTTTTGTATTGAATTGGTCCTCAAGAACCCCTCTGCTGCAGTGCCCCGGTACAGGAGAAGCAGATGTGAGCAAACAAAGTGACCAGGACATGTTCTCTCATGGGATTAATATTGTTCAAAATTTGTTCTTGCCCTTCCATTTTTTACCCTCAAGTTCCCCCTGCCCAAACTCCATGAAGGTACCAGGTATCAATCAGAGAATTCTTGAGCCCAAAGACTGACCAACCATGACACCATGTGCCATGCACCAGATCTGATCCCCAGGAGCATCCCTCCTGGAAGAAGGAAGAGTCGTTCCATGAGCGCGAAACGGACGAAGCGAAAGGTCCCTTCGGTGTGGACCTGGGCGACTTCATCAGTTCCAACGCCAACCAGGATCCATCTCAAAGGGATTCCAGCCCAGAGGTTGAGACTGAAGGCCGATTCCGTTGTCGTTGTGGCCATGCGTTTGATGTGTTTGATGTGTTAATTACTGTTAATTGTGATTCTTCATCCTCACGTGTATTTGGATGCTTTTGGAGAAAGTCCGAAACATCTGAAAGCAGCTTGACACTGCAGGAAAGTGCTTTACTTAGATTCTCCGTGGAAGTGAGGAATCCTTCTGCCTGCTGCTGTTGAAATCAACAACTGCCACCTGAGAAACTTTCAATTCCCAGCACATCGTTTCGAATTTGACTACCTTTGCCACGTGCTTTTTGATGCTTTTTGCTGATGCAGTTTTGTCCATTTTCTGCCAGGCAGCTCTGATGAAGACTGGCAGCTTGCATCGCACGCCAGACATGAAATCTAACTTGCGTAGGATATATGTGTAGATATTACTTAACAACTTTCGTGCAAGAGGCAATGGACCATTTAATTTCGTTACTTGTTCGCTATGCAATGCCAGCCCCTGTAGAAACCTCATAAGGCAGAACTGACTACCAGCTCTTCAGCTGAGGATGGAGGACAAGTTCAAGCTCCGTCGCAAAGTTGTCGACAGCGGCACTCATAAGATGCGTCCTGGCAGCCACAAAAGGGGGATGCCAGGAAGGCCCAGGTTGGTGTTACAAGACAGAGCCAGGATACCAGTGCCTGCCACCTTGCTACCACGAGCATGAAGCTGTTGGCATCAGAACCATTTGAGCACTTTAACTCTGGACATTGTGACATATCCAGCTGCAAAGTGCTCCAAACTATTACCGATACCAGCAATGTAGTCTCAAATTTGGCTGCTAGACGAAGTTCCATGGTTTGCCATTGATGACTCAACTTCCAACATGAATCAGAGGCTGCTGTGGGCATTTCTCTTCGTGGCCTTGGTAAGCTTCGCATCCTCCTTGGTGATCCGTTGGCGGCCGACCGCTCCCACGGTCCGGAACCTCAGGGGATGCCGAGCCTCCAGAGGATTCCCCCCAAACAAGTCCGTGGCAGCAGGCATATTCGCGACTGGAAGCCCAGGCTCGAGAGTTGAGTTTTCTCAGATTCCTTTTGGCAGTTGACTGAAGAATGCTGAAAAGATATCATCCAATCTATTTCTTCACCTTTTTTCCGGTTCCAGTTCGGCTTATGTACCTGCACCTTCCTGCGCCATTTCTTGATATTTTTTCGTCTTGCTCCATCACAAATTGCTTTCTTGGGCCACCTTCGAACTTTCACGAAGATTGTGTGTTGCCTTCGTTTTCCTTCTCTCCAGAGGCCTTTAAAGATGTGTGACTGTCGCAGGTGCCTTTCTCCAGTTCGCGGCAAGTGCGGGTGGCCTGAGATGCTACGCCAGCTCCAATGATGAGCTGAGTTGGTGCTTTGCAGAGGCCCGGGTTATCCTCTGTTGCCAAGAAGGATGACAGAAGTGACGTCTGGCCTCTGCCCGTTGGCAATGTGGACTTGAAAGGCTTGGAAACTCACCAAAGAACAAAGTGGCAACTGAACAAGTTGAAATTCAAATCTGACAAGTGACAACTTTGGCCGACGTATGCCGACGTGTCTGTAGGATGAAGCACATGGTTCCATTGTTTTCTGCAGAGAAATCAGATGTGGAGATCACCAGAAGTCTCCATTGTCCAGTCGCAATCAGTCGAAATAGGTCCAGGGCTCGAAGTAGCGGACTCTGCGATCCGCTGGTCTCTGTAGCTGCGGATCAAATTCGCCACGTGCACGTTCTGAGTCCACATTCAGTTGGACAAGTTGTAACATTTGAGATAGATTCGTCTCAGGGGAATCTGGATGTTTGATGATCTTTGGTGTTGTGTGCCGCAAAGTTCGAAACTGGAGAAATCTCTCTGGTTGAAAAAAGAATTGGAGCATTGAGAGTCAGCTATAGCCACTGAATCTAAGCATGTTTCAGGCACGTGCCTGGAATGAGTGCCTGAGGAATGGCCTGTTACAACACTGTGAGGCACTGCACGGCTTCACCGCAGCTTGGGTTCAAGGCTTCGCCGGTCATCGGCAAAATCGGCAACGATTTGTGGTCAAGCCATGGGTGGATCAGCTTCTCTCCATGATGGTGATTTAGATTTTGATTTGTTGTGTCATGTTTCCGATCGCTATGATGACTTGTTGCAAAAGGAGAAATACAAGAGAAAAGAGAAAGGCATCTTGACCATGGCTTTGACAGTTGAGTTGCAGACGAGTGAAGAAGAGTTTGAGCGAAACACACTAGAGTCACTAGAGAAGCAAAACAAGTTGACTGAGAGTTTGCGCGACATTGAGGAAAAGGAACGTGTCCTGCACTGCAAGACGTCTGAGCTGCAGAAGAGCGAAGAGGAGCTTGAAGAAAACGCCCTTGAAGTGCGAAAGAAGAAAGACATCTTGACGCAGAGCATGGCTGACCTTGAGAAAAGGGAACAGATGCTGCAAGAGAAGACAGTTGAGTTGCAGAAGAATGAAGAAGAGTTTGAGCGAAACACACTAGAGTCACTAGAGAAGCAAAACAAGTTGACTGAGAGTTTGCAGGACATTGAGGAAAAGGAACGTGTCCTGCACTGCAAGACGTCTGAGCTGCAGAAGAGCGAAGAGGAGCTTGGAGAAAAAGCCCTTGAAGTGCAAAAGAAGAAAGACATCTTGACGCAGAGCATGGCTGACCTTGAGAAAAGGGAACAGGTGCTGCAAGAGAAGACAGTTGAGCTGCAGAAGAATGAAGAAGAGTTTGAGCGAAAATCCCTCGAAACGCAGAGGGTGAAAACAGAGCTGGACAAGAACATCCATGACCTGCAGGAGGTTCGCACCAAGAAACTCGAACTTTTGGAAAAGGAGTTGCTGGAACGAAACGCTCTCGACCAAGATTCGGTTCGTGTTGAACTTCGAGACCTGAAGGCCGTCGTGCATGGGCTGCAACAGGAAATGGCGAGGATGGCTGCCTCCAGCTACAGCGACGCTTCCTCCGTCAACACCTTGGAATCGTGGATCCATGTGGGCTCCACGAAGCCGTGTTGCTTCCATCCGGACGCCCACTTCAAGGTCTTCACCAGCGACGGTCCAGTCCTTGCCCCTGCCAGCATGCTCCACCAGGGAGCTCGGGTGCAGTCTGCCAGTGGCAAAGTCGTGGAGGTCGTGAACCCGCCGGAGCAGCACCAGGTCGATTCTGTCATCGAGTTGAAAGCTGGCACTGCATCCCTCGTGGTGAGCCCAGACCATCGGGTCCTGGTTCCTGGATTTCCTGGCAACAAAACGGTGAAAGCCGAAGAGTTGTCGGAAGGCGACGTGGTGATTCTGGATGGAATTCCTGCCCGACTCAGCTCATGCGAGCGCAAGACTGGGAAGACGTTGGTGATCCGCCTTGGCTTCAAACCAGATCTGCCTGTTGCCGTATCTGTCAGATTTGTTTCAGCTGTTTCATTTTCTTTGAAGATATGGTAGTTTGATATAGTAGCAGTTTTAGTCCAGTAGCAACAGGAAGGTCAGCCCTTTGGTGAATCTATCTATCATTGACATTTCTTGCTGGAACAAAGGCGGTCCAATGTTGAATACACATGAATACACTGTTACAGTAGGGAAATGAAGGTAAGGCCCCTACAGCGAAATCTTGTTGCAGCAAGGCTTTCCCCTTTCCGGCTGCAGCCGAGGCACTGATGCGGCCGTCATCCATCCTCAGCAAGGGCTTTCGCAAAAAGCAGCTGCGCCGCAGCCTGAAGAAGGTCTCTGAAGCAGCCGATGACACCTACGCGGGTACTGAAGGGTACTTGACCGAGTAGATTCGATTGATGTTTTATGCACAGCACCATGACAGGGAGGCTGCTGCATGTGTTTCCGGAACTTGTGCGTGTTCCCTTGAACGAAGTTTCACGCTGGACGCACGGTTTTCATGCAGCAGCCACATATATGCTTCTGTTTGATGGATCATAGCGCACGCCAGTGGTTGTGCCTATGATTTGTCACGTTGTTCCTGGATTGTTCATTATGAAATATCATTGGTTCCCACTGCATTCATTTATATTTTCCTTTCAAGTTAAGTGGTGCGGCTATTCAATTTGAGAAGAGATTTCTCCGAGTGCTTTTGCAGCTTGTGCAGATCGATGCACAGTTTGCGGACGCCGTTTTCCCAGATTTGTCTGCCTAGCGCACGCATCTCAAGTTGTGCCTCTGCCAGACATTGTCAGATCATCCTGAGGCCCGAAAGTTGTAAGTACGGTCTCCCATTCCCCGACGCATGGACCTTTGCCCTGCGAAAATCCGCCATAGGTGAGCTTAACAGATGCTTGCGTGGTCATCCCCAGCTTGGCGAAGCCCAAAGGAGTTGTTGGACAGTTGGACACATTGTTTGGTGGTTTGGTTTCATTTTGAGCAAGCGCTTAGATTCTAGATGGCACTCAGGTCGTTGGGGACATTTGCAGGTTGTGGCGACTTTGCAACATGAGCCTTCCACGAAATTGGAATTAAATATGCAGAAGGAGACGGTCTTTCCGAAGCAATGGAACGCTTTAAGATGCCTGGTTTCTGCATGTTCTTCAGGTTCCAGTCAGCTCCAGCTACAAACTTGTGAAGATTGGTCCTGCGTTCACCACTCACTTCTGTCAGAGCCTGTGATCTTCTGCAACATTTATCTCTTCTATCCAATTTCAGCCGACATCACATCACAGTTGTTCAAGCCTTCTGTCAATACGCACGCTGTATGTTCACTGTCTAATTATCATGCAGACCAATTTTCCGCATGGATATGACCGCCCACATACAGCACTTGATTTTTTGAAACTAGACAAGCACTGAAACGCAACTCAGGGCTCTGAACCTGGATCACAGGATGCGTCAATTTTTTATCAGGAGAGGCAATGGAAGATTCGCCAATTAACAGCCAGTTCTCATTTTTCTAGATTCAATACTGATAATACTGGGTACTTTGGATCACTATGTGGGCTTGGGGCACTTGCTGGAGGTCAGCGGCTCAGACGGCTTTGCAGAGTGCATAGTAGATAAAGACTTCTGCCCAGAATTCGTTTGACGATGTGTGAAGTGTGGACCACCTCTGGAAAACGGTTGCCTTGAAAGGCTGAATAGTTCTGAAATTCAAAAGTGCAGCTGATTCTTCGATTGCAGCATTGTCTCCAGATTCCTCAAAGTCTTCAAGAGATGAGGAGGTGTGGGTCCGACAGCTGTCGTTTATTTCTGTCTTGGCCGCAGTGACTGCAGTCTGGCGTTTTGAAACTTGTGAGAATTTTGGAGCTTTTGAGGGCTTTTGCCGGAGACTTTTCAGATTCCTTCTCGCAGTTGGCTGAAACGATTTTACTCCATTTGTTTCTTGATTTCTTCCGGTTCCAGCTCGCATCAGCTCGCCGTGCGTACACCATCTTTTGGGCTTGCTTCACAAGTTGTCTGTTTGTGATACTGTAGCTTCGAACTTTCACCAAGATGGTTTGGTATGGTTTGTGAGGCAAGATGGTTTGGTGTGGTTTGTGAGCTGAGTTTTTCCCTCCAGAGATTTTGGACACTCCATGATGGTCGTCGCAGATGCCTTTCTCCAGTTCGCGACAAGTGCGGGTGGCCTGAGCTCCGCCAGCTCCAATGATGAGCTGAGTTGGTGCTTTGCAGAGGCCCGGGTTGTCTGTTGCCAAGAAGGATGACAGAAGTGACGTCTGGCCTCTGCCCGTTGGCAATATGGACTTGAATGGCTTGGAAACTCACCAAAGAACAAAGTGGCAACTGAACAAGTTGAAATTCAAATCTGACAAGTGACAACTTTGGCCGACGTATGCCGACGTGTCTGTAGGACGAAGCACATGGTTCCATTGTTTTCTGCAGAGAAATCAGATGTGGAGATCACCAGAAGTCTCCATTGTCCAGTCGCAAGTCGAAATAGGTCCAGGGCTCGAAGTAGCGGACTCTGCGATCCGCTGCTCTCCGCAGCTGCGGATCAAATTCGCCACGTGCACGTTCTGAGTCCACATTCAGTTGGACAAGTTGTCACATTTGAGATAGATTCGTCTCAGGGGAATCTGGGTGTTTGATGATCTTTGGTGTTGTGTGCAGTAAAGTTCGAAACTGGAGAAATCTCTCTGGTTGAAAAAAAAATTGGAGCATTGAGAGTCAGCCATAGCCACTGAATCTAAGCAAGTTTCAGGCACGTGGCTGGCAGTGCATGAGGAATGGCCTGTTACAACGCTGTGAGGCACTGCACGGCTTCACTGCAGCTTGGGTTCAAGGCTTCGCCGGTGATCGGCAAAATCGGCAACGATTTGTGGTCAAGCCATGGGTGGAACAGCGTCTTTTCCAGATCGCTATGATGACTTGTCGCCTGTGCAAAAGAAAATCTTGAAATTCATCTTAATGCCGGGAGAGTATGGCTTGTCTGAGTTGCTGAGGATCGAAGAGGAGCTTAAAGAAAACACCCTTGACGTGGAAAAGAAGAAAGACATCTTGACGCAGAGCTTTGCTGACCTTGAGAAAAGGGAACAGATGCTGCAAGAGAAGACAGTTGAGTTGGAGAAGAACAAAGAAGAGTTTGCGCAAAACACACTAGAGAAGCAAAACAAGTTGACTGAGAGTTTGCGGGACATTGAGGAAAAGGTACGTGTCCTGCACTGCAAGACGTCTGAGTTGCAGAAGAGCGAAGAGGAGCTTGAAGAAAACGCCCTTGAAGTGCAAAAGAAGAAAGACATCTTGATGCAGAGCATGGCTGACCTTGAGAAAAGGGCACAGATGCTGCAAGAGAAGACAGTTGAGTTGCAGAAGAATGAAGACGAGTTTGAGCGAAACACACTAGAGAAGCAAAACAAGTTGACTGAGAGTTTGCGGGACATTGAGGAAAAGGAACGTGTCCTGCACTGCAAGACGTCTGAGCTGCAGAAGAGCGAAGAGGAGCTTGGAGAAAAAGCCCTTGAAGTGCAAAAGAAGAAAGACATCTTGACGCAGAGCATGGCTGACCTTGAGAAAAGGGAACAGGTGCTGCAAGAGAAGACAGTTGAGCTGCAGAAGAATGAAGAAGAGTTTGAGCGAAAATCCCTCGAAACGCAGAGGGTGAAAACAGAGCTGGACAAGAACATCCATGACCTGCAGGAGGTTCGCACCAAGAAACTCGAACTTTTGGAAAAGGAGTTGCTGGAACGAAACGCTCTCGACCAAGATTCGGTTCGTGTTGAACTTCGAGACCTGAAGGCCGTCGTGCATGGGCTGCAACAGGAAATGGCGAGGATGGCTGCCTCCAGCTACAGCGACGCTTCCTCCGTCAACACCTTGGAATCGTGGATCCATGTGGGCTCCACGAAGCCGTGTTGCTTCCACCCGGACGCCCACTTCAAGGTCTTCACCAGCGACGGTCCAGTCCTTGCCCCCGCCAGCATGCTCCACCAGGGAGCTCGGGTGCAGTCTGCCAGTGGCAAAGTCGTGGAGGTCGTGAACCCGCCGGAGCAGCACCAGGTCGATTCCGTCATCGAGTTGAAAGCTGGCACTGCATCCCTCGTGGTGAGCCCAGACCATCGGGTGCTTGTTCCTGGATTTCCGGGCAACAAAACGGTCAAAGCCGAAGAGTTGTCGGAAGGCGACGTGGTGATTCTGGATGGAATTCCTGCCCGACTCAGCTCATGCGAGCGCAAGACTGGGAAGACGTTGGTGATCCGCCTCGGCTTCAAACCAGATCTGCCTGTTGCAGTGTCAGGTTTGCTTCAGCTGTTTCATTTTCTTTGAAGATTATATAATGTGATATAACAACAGTTTTAGTCCAGTAGCAGCAGGAAGGTCAGCCCTTTGGTGAATCTATCATTGACATTTCTTGCTGGAACAAAGGCGGTGCAATGTTGAATACACATGAATACACTGTTACAGTAGTGAAATGAAGGTAAGGCCCCTACAGCGAAATCTTGTTGCAGCAAGGCTTTCCCCTTTCCGGCTGCAGCCGAGGCACTGATGCGGCCGTCATCCATCCTCAGCAAGGGCTTTCGCAAAAAGCAGCTGCGCCGCAGCCTGAAGAAGAAGGTTTCTGAAGCAGCCGATGACACCTACGCGGGTACTGAAGGGTACTTGACCGAGTAGATTCGATTGATGTTTTATGCACAGCACCATGACAGGGAGGCTGCTGCATGTGTTTCCGGAACTTGTGCGTGTTCCCTTGAACGAAGTTTCACGCTGGACGCACGGTTTTCATGCAGCAGCCACATATATGCTTCTGTTTGATGGATCATAGCGCACGCCAGTGGTTGTGCCTATGATTTGTCACGTTGTTCCTGGATTGTTCATTATGAAATATCATTGGTTCCCACTGCATTCATTTATATTTTCATTTCAAGTTAAGTGGTGCGGCTATTCAATTTGAGAAGAGATTTCTCCGAGTGCTTTTGCAGCTTGTGCAGATCGATGCACAGTTTGCGGACGCCGTTTTCCCAGATTTGTCTGCCTAGCGCACGCATCTCAAGTTGTGCCTCTGCCAGACATTGTCAGATCATCCTGAGGCCCGAAAGTTGTAAGTACGGTCTCCCATTCCCGGACGCATGGACCTTTGCCCTGCGAAAATCCGCCATAGGTGAGCTTAACAGATGCTTGCGTGGTCATCCCCAGCTTGGCGAAGCCCACAGGAGTTGTTGGACACATTGTTTGGTGGTTTGGTTTCATTTTGAGCAAGCGCTTAGATTCTAGATCAGGCACTCAGGTCGTTGGGGACATTTGCAGGTTGTAGCGACTTTGCAACATGAGCCTTCCACGAAATTGGAATGATATGCTTTCAGCCGGCATTACATCATATTACATCACAGTTGTTCAAACCTTCTGTCAATACGCACCCTGTATGCATGCATTGACTCTACATGTTCATTGTCTAATTATCATGCAGATCAATTTTCGGCATGGATATGACCGCCCACATACAGCACTTGATTTTTTGAAACTAGACAAGCACTGAAACGCAACTCAGGGCTCTGAACCTGGATCACAGGATGCGCACATTTTTATCAGGAGAGGCAATGGAAGATTGGCCAATTAACAGCCAGTTCTCATTTTTCTAGATTCAATACTGATAATACTGGGTACTTTGGATCACTATGTGGGCTTGGGGCACTTGCTGGAGGTCAGCGGCTCAGACGGCTTTGCAGAGTGCATAGCAGATAAAGATAGATAAAGACTTCTGCCCAGAATTCGTTTGACGATGTGAAGTGTGGACCATCTCTGAAAAACGGTTGCCCTGAAAGGCTGAATAGTTCTGAAATTCAAAAGTGCAGCTGATTCTTCGATTGCAGCGTTGTCTCCAGATTCCTCAAAGTCTTCAAGAGATGAGGAGGTGTGGGTCCGACAGCTGTCGTTTATTTCTGTCTAGGCCGCAGTGACTGCAGTCTGGCGTTTTGAAACTTTTGAGAATTTTGGAGCTTTTGAGGGCTGTTGCCGGAGACTTTTCAGATTCCTTCTCGCAGTTGGCTGAAAAGATTTTGCTCTATTTAATTTGTTTCTTGATTTCTTCCGGTTCCCCCTCGCATCAGCTCGTCGTGCGTACACCATCTTTTGGGCTTGCATCACATGTTGTCTGTTTGTGATTTGTGATACTGTAGTAGCTTCGAACTTTCACCAAGATGGTTTGGTATGGTTTGTGAGCTGAGCTTTTCCCTCCAGAGATTTTGGACACTCCATGATGGTCGTCGCAGGTGCCTTTCTCCAGTTCGCGACAAGTGCGGGTGGCCTGAGATGCTACGGCAGCTCCAATGATGAGCTGAGTTGGTGCTTTGCAGAGGCCCGCGTTGTCTGTTGCCAAGAAGGATGACAGAAGTGATGTCTGGCCTCTGCCCGTTGGCAATGTGGACTTGAAAGGCTTTCCAACTCACCAAAGAACTGGCAACTGAACAAGTTGAAATTCAAATCTGACAAGTGACAACTTTGGCCGACGTGTCTGTAGGATGAAGCACATGGTTCCATTGTTTTCTGAAGAGAAATCAGATGTGGAGATCCAGGGCTCGAAGTAGCGGACCCTGCGATCCGCTGCTCTCCGCAGCTGCGGATCAAATTCGCCACGTGCGCGTTCTGAGTCCACATTCAGTTGGACAAGTTAACATTTGAGATAGATTCGTCTCAGGGGAATCTGGATGTTTGATGATCTTTGGTGTTGTGTGCAGTAAAGTTCGAAACTGGAGAAATCTCTCTGGTTGAAAAAAAAATTGGAGCATTGAGAGTCAGCCATAGCCACTGAATCTAAGCAAGTTTCAGGCACGTGGCTGGCAGTGCATGAGGAATGGCCTGTTACAACGCTGTGAGGCACTGCACGGCTTCACCGCAGCTTGGGTTCAAGGCTTCGCTGAACTGACAACGATTTGTGGTCAAGCCATGGCGCCGGGAGAGTACTCCAGATGTCCACTCTGTGGAGGACGAGGAGATTTAAAAAGCCACCATTCGTCCAAAATCTTCTACACCTTCAATTGTCGTGAGTGCAAGTCCTATTGGTCTGAGTTGAAGAAGATTGAAGACAACATTGAAGACAGATCTGTGGAAGTGCAAAAGAAGAAAGACATCTTGACGCGGAGCATGGCTGACCTTGAGAAAAGGGAACAGATGCTGCAAGAGAAGACAGTTGAGCTGCAGAAGAATGAAGAAGAGTTTGCGCAAAACACACTAGAGAAGCAAAACAAGTTGACTGAGAGTTTGCGGGACATTGAGGAAAAGGAACGTGTCCTGCACTGCAAGACGTCTGAGCTGCAGAAGAGCGAAGAGGAGCTTGGAGAAAAAGCCCTTGAAGTGCAAAAGAAGAAAGACATCTTGACGCAGAGCATGGCTGACCTTGAGAAAAGGGAACAGGTGCTGCAAGAGAAGACAGTTGAGCTGCAGAAGAATGAAGAAGAGTTTGAGCGAAAATCCCTCGAAACGCAGAGGGTGAAAACAGAGCTGGACAAGAACATCCATGACCTGCAGGAGGTTCGCACCAAGAAACTCGAACTTTTGGAAAAGGAGTTGCTGGAACGAAACGCTCTCGACCAAGATTCGGTTCGTGTTGAACTTCGAGACCTGAAGGCCGTCGTGCATGGGCTGCAACAGGAAATGGCGAGGATGGCTGCCTCCAGCTACAGCGACGCTTCCTCCGTCAACACCTTGGAATCGTGGATCCATGTGGGCTCCACGAAGCCGTGTTGCTTCCACCCGGACGCCCACTTCAAGGTCTTCACCAGCGACGGTCCAGTCCTTGCCCCCGCCAGCATGCTCCACCAGGGAGCTCGGGTGCAGTCTGCCAGTGGCAAAGTCGTGGAGGTCGTGAACCCGCCGGAGCAGCACCAGGTCGATTCCGTCATCGAGTTGAAAGCTGGCACTGCATCGCTGGTGGTGAGCCCAGACCATCGGGTGCTCGCTCCTGGCAACAAAACGGTGAAAGCCGAAGAGTTGTCGGAAGGCGACGTGGTGATTCTGGATGGAATTCCTACCCCACTCAGCTCGTGCGAGCGCAAGACTGGGAAAACCTTGGTGATCCGCCTTGGCTTCAAACCAGATCTGCCTGTTGCAGTATCTGTCAGATTTGCTTCAGCTGTTTCATTTTCTTTGAAGATAGATGTAGTATGGAGCAGTATTGTTTGTAATTACGTATCTGAACTTGCATGGCGACCCCCCTGTGCTGAATCTACTATTGCACTTTTAGCCGCACAGGCCATGCGGTGTTGAATTATGAGCGGAACCATATTTACACTGAGATCTCGCTGCAGCAAGTGCAGCCATCAAAGATCCCCCTTTCTGGCTGGAGCCGAGGCACTCATTCCTGCATCCTCCATTTGGAGCAAGGGCTTTCGCAAGGTTCGCCGTGGCCTGAACAAGAAGGCCTCCCAAGCGGTTTGTGACATGTATGCAGCTACTGAAGGGTACATAACAGATTAGGTAGATTGATTCATTTAGATTGATTTGTTTAATGGGCAGCACTAATGACAGAGAGGCTGGCAGCATGTGTTTCCCAAACTTGTGCGTGTCCTTGCGAACGAAGCTTCTCGGTGGACGCACAGTTTTCATGCAGCCAGATACTTCTGTCTGATGGATCATGGTGCACGCCAGTGGGTTGTGCCTGTGATTTGTCACAATGTGTTAGAGACAGGCATTCTCCCAGAATCTTGAGGTTGTCACTTCACACTAATTTCCAAAGTTCCTGGATGGACGTTGTGAAATATCACTGCATTTATTTCCTTCAATTGTAAGTGGTGCTGCGACTAGAAATGCTTGGAAATTCTCCAAGTGCTTTTGCGGCTTGTGCAGACCAATGCACAGTTTGCGCACGCCGTTTTCCCAGATCTGTCTGCCTAGCGCACGCATCTCAAGTTGTGCCTCCGCCAGACATTGCCAGATCATCCTGAGGCCCGAAAGTTGTAAGTACGGTCTCCCCATCCCAGACGTATGGACCTTTGCCCTGCGAAAGTCCACAATGCTTGCCATGTTATCCAAATTTGGCCGTGTCTATCGATCTGATCTTTGGCAGCAAGTGGATGGTGAAGGGACTCAGGTCCTTAAGAACATGGTGAGTGGTTGTGGTGATTTGCACACGAGCCTTCCAACGAGCAGGGACTGCCATTCTGCAACACTTTAGGTTGTTGACATTCGCTGTTTTTGAGATTCCGGTGGGCTTTGGCCCATGAAATTGCAGAGTTTGGTCCTGTGATCACCACTCATTTGTCATTGTTTGCGATCTCCGCAGCATTGAGCTCTTCTATCCAATCTCAGTTGACATCAGATGAGCGCTGTTCACGCCGTCGATAAGATTGGCGTGCATGTTTTATCGCCTGGCAATTTCCCAAATGTGATCTACCAGATCATGTGACTATGCTAAGTATCGCTGAGCTACGTTTTGCAGCAAGGGCTGGAATGCAGTCCCGGCACCACCTGGGACCTAGGCTCTGCACCTTCATCAGGGGGATATGTCAACCTTCGATCAGAAGAGCCTAGAGAATATACTGCAACCAGCTAGTTGTTCATGTTTTGGATTTCCGAATTCACGCAATTCAATACCTTGCATCACTGTCGTGAGCTTGGCACTTGCTGAACGTCAGCATCTCAGCCTACGGATTTTGCAGAATGCACGGCGAATTCGGACTCACGACTGTGCTTCATTTTGTCGACGTGGACATGTGGTTGCTGTTGGATGATTCTAAAATCACCTAAAATCATCTAAAATCATTAAAACAATAATTCAATTCCAATCGGAAAATGAGAAGCCTTCACGCCGCAGCCTCTTAATCAGGATCAAACTCCCCTTGACAGTGAATTCATTTAATCCAGTTGGGGCGCACGCCAGCGAACATCAGAATACATTGATTTTTTCTTGGAATTGGTCAATTATGTAAGCATCAACATGACTTGTGTGTAATTGCAGGGGATTTCCACACATGTTTGCCCAATCCATGCTCCTGGCCACCCTTCTCCCAGTGACTTGGCTCATCCAAAATGGATCAAAATGGCAATTTGATGGGGCATCCCCAATGGATTTGGGGTATATCTATAGGTATACCCCAAGCCACACATGGCACACAGCCAGAAAATCGCAGATTCACTGAGGTCACAGTGGTTGGTGCAGCTCCCATCATCCGCTCCCAGGCGCCACATGGGAGGTGGGACCCAAACAAAACAGAGATGAATGAGTTGAAGGAGCTCGGGAGCAACCCTGGAGTTGAAATGGAGTTTAGCTCCAGTTGTTCCTGGATTTTGCGGACCTTAAACTTGAAAGGCGCCATGAGCTCCTCCCATGGTGCGGGTGGTTTCAGATGGTTTCAGGGTTGAGAGTCAAGAGTGTAGAGTGGCCATGTCCAGGGTAAGTTGGAACAAGTTCTATCAGTTGACCCGTCGGAATCCTGCAAATCCTGGATCCACGTGGCATTGTCCTGAGGCATGGAGTCTCACTTCAACTGGTGAGGCCGAATATTTGGGAGATGTTGTCTGAGAGCTACAGGTTTTTGATAGACAATCTCAATCAGACAACTACTTAACTATTGCTTTTTGAACCTCTTGACCTTTGTTTGAGTGTTTAACTCTAAGATATCTGGTTCAATGGTCCTCGTCCGTGTGAGGCCTATCAAGAGTCTTCGACTTTGCCACTTTGATGCACCAGCTGTTGTTCTTTTTGCATTCGTTTCATCTGGCTTCCTGTTGTTTTGGCGACCATACCCCTGGCTTACAAATTCACCCAAAACGAGTTGTGCAAGTGACAACACAAGAACTGTACTGCCTGAGAAGCACCATCGCTCTTTGAGGACTGAGGGCACGATCTTCCCAAACTGTTCCTACCTGAAGGTGCCCTTCCCATAATTCAAATTCTTCAGATGCAGAGTCAAAAAGGTCGTGAGTACCAGGTAGTGCTTCGTGAAGTACCATAAGTACCGTCCAGGTGAGCAATGTGACGGCGGAGGTGTCTGAGTGTTCCACCGTGGATGTGGGAAGCTGCAACAAGAGCTTCGTGTTGCTCCACGGAGTCAAGGCAGTGCCACGGCTAAAGCGCCGCTGTCACAACTGGCTTGGGATATCTTGGGATACTGTATTGGTCCAAGCAACTCCACGGGGTTTTGCAGCTTTGGGACCACCCATGACACCCATGCTGTCTTTAGTTGTTACCGTTGAATGTTGAGTATCAATGTGGGTACGAGTCAAAATACAAGGTATGGATCAAGGCCCCGAACCCACACACGATCCATACCCCCCGATCCATACCTTGATCCATACCCTGTGGTACTGCATGATCCATACCCTTGATCCATACCCCTTTCTCATTGAAGAAAGATTGATGCTGGCCCTAATGCTGCTTTTTATCCTAATACTGCTTCTGGCCCTCGTACTGCTACTCCCGTTGCTACTCCCGTTGCTACTACTGTTGCTACTATCGTTGCTACTGCTGCTTCCGCTGCCTCCGCTGCTTCCGTGCTGCTGCTGCTGCTGCCACTACTAGTCATCTTCCTCCCAGGAGCTGCTGCTGCTGCTGCTGCTGCTGCTGTCGCTTCTGCTGCTGCTCCTGCTGGTCCTGCTCTCGCTGCTGGTGCTGGTTCACTTCCTCCGTGTGCTTCTGGTAGTTGGACAAATGCAACTAGTTGAGTAACTACTAGCAATATTGCAAGCGCACCTTGGAGGCTAGTAAGACTGGTTCTAGTTCCACTAGGTGCTTCTTGTACTTCTAGTGGCGCTATGATTACAACTCCTTCTGTTTCTGCTTTATCTGGCACGTGTAGAACTAGACTAGACTTGAAATACCCCGCTCTCTTCCTTCACAGCCATAGCGTGAAAGCCGGCCCAGATAGCGTGTCCCGATCCATACCCCATCCATACCCGTTCCATACCCGATCCATACCCGAACCCAGTCACGCCACAACAAATGCCAATATGAAAGTCCGATTCTATTACTACTCCTATTGCTGCTGCTGCTTCTACTACTACTACTACTATTACTACTACTACTACTACTACTATTACTATTACTACTCCTCACTCCTCCTCCTCCTCCTGCTCCTGCTGCTGCTGCTGCTACTACCGTTAGATTACTATTGACTATTGACTTTTACTAGTACTACTGTTACTGCTACTGCTATTTCTACTGTTGCTGCATCTTATCCTTCTATTGCCACTACTGCTGCTGGTGCTGTTTTTTTTTCCTGCTCCCTCGACAAGCAGTGGTAACAGTTTTAGCAGCAACAGTAGCAGGAGGAGAAGTAATAGCAAGTCGGGGAGTATCAGCACAGTTTGTATGCTATGATGAGCCCTTACGAAAGGGTACGGATCAGGTACCTTACGTAAGCACTCGCGATCCATAGTACGGATCACCGCGGAGCGATCCATACCCGATTTTTGACTCGCACCCATGTATCAATCCTCAATTTTTGGTTACCCAGATCCGTCTTGGGCCTGTGGTCATCCCCTGAGATCCGAGGTTTGTGCAGCCGCTGGCACTCCTGCAGGATGCACCGATAGAGGAGATGCCTTCTGCTGTTACTCCACGAGTGAGAAGCTCAAAGGTTTGGGTGGTGAGGAAACTGAAGAAGGTGAGACTTTTGCAAAAGTGTATCAGTGTATCACTTTTCGCCACATATTGACAATATTGAATGATTCCCACCACCGGGCTGCTTGCGGAAGCTCTGAAAAGGTGCTGCACCACTTTGTGATAAAGCTTTTCTCCGGGACAGCTGGGACAACTTGCACTGAATAATGTGCTGTGCAGTGGGATTGGCAGGCTCGTGTTAATTGCCAAAGAAAGGCAAGAGTTGCAGAGGCAAACCTTACTGTAATAGCTCGGAGCAGCTGCAAGTGCGGGTGGAGAGGGCAGATGCGTTTGTTGTAACATGTCTTCAGGACAAACGACCTCGGAGAGTGAGGAAGTGTACAAATCTGCGGCAGCGGAAGGCGCTATGTCAGAGATCCTTTGCTGCTTGGCGCATTATGCTCTGGGCTGGATCTGAAGGGTACGTTGGAAGACCGAGCCCCTATCTGATGCAACATCTTCGGTGCTAACCACAGGGGCGTGCCCAAAAGCCAAACTGGGGTTGTCATTGTGTAGGAAATCAATCTTGTGTTTGTTTCACCATTACGGATTGTAGAGCTAATGAACGGGGATATCAAGTATGGGTATATCAACTGGGTATATACGCAAAACGCCTACCAACAAGAACCGACACCATGGATTTCGAGAATGATTGCCTGGAATGATGAATGGAGCGCGTCAATGTGAACTATTTATTCATATGATATATCAGCAAGTTGGCTACAATTTCGTTATAGGCCTTAGGCATATATACCAACCATCATAAGACTATCTTATTATTGTTCATGGCATTCCCATCATTAAAGCCATTACGCGCGGATTACGATCTCATTATGGTTACCATGCAACATTTTGGATACTTAATTTTGATAACGCGAGCTGTTGAATTGGATACCCGCGTCTGAAGATGGCACCATTCAAGTCACTCTTCCCCAGCCAGATCCACGGACTCCTCCAGAATATTCCACGCACAAACAGTTGACTGCCAATGAAGGAAATGCACGGGGTTGGTGACCCACGAGATCGCGTTATCGTCGTTGCGAACCTTGGCAAGAATTGAGGTTGCATTTTCATTTTTGCATTTGCACAGATTGGAACTTAACAGACTGCAGAAATCTGCAGAATTGTGGGATTGCATCTGATTGCATCTGATTGCACCTGATTGCACCTGATTGCATCTGATTGCATCTGATTGCATCTGATTGCATCTGATTGCATCTGATTGCATCTGATTGCATCTGATTGCATGTGCAAGGTGTGGCTTTGACAAGGGTTGTGTTGGCTTGGACCTCAGAGTGTGACAGTGACGTTGACCTCAGCTGCCAAGATGCAGAATTTGCCTTTTGCTGAACAGGTCGCTCATCCTCAACCTCCCAGATTGCTTGCTGCCAAAGGGGGTTGCAAAGATAAGGAAACATGTGACAGTCCTGAGGGGTCGCACAATGATTGGATGTGAACGTGAGAGACGGATGTAAGTCTTGAGATCGAGAAATGTGAAGTACTGTCATGTAAGGTCAGTTGTACCTGCAGGCATGTGTAACACTGTAATTTGCAATGTTTGACCATGTGCAGGGGCTACCAAGACTCTTTTCTGCGATTCTTTGGGTGTCCTGAATCCTCGAGTTTATGTGAACTTGATCTCATTTGTCCATTTCTCCTATGTGGCAAAGTGCATTTGTCCGCAAATTCTTCAGCTGTAGAGGTTGGCATTATGAACTGGTCAAACATTCGTAAACCATGACTATAGAAATTGGGGAAATAAGGCAAGTGACTTCCGGCATTTACTCTCTTTCATTGTGCACAGAGCCCCAAAAGGCCCGAAGATTGTGTGTGCAGTGTAGCTCCGAATGCATTGAAGCGAGCGCTGTAAAAATCAGGCGAGGGCGAGCGCTGTAAAAATCAGGTGAGCGCTGTAAAAATCAGCCTCTTTCAGACTCCAGACATCTTGAAACTTCTTTCGAATCATGCGCACGAACTAAGACTAGGGCCTAAGGGTGACTTGATATCGCTTGCTGCATCAGTAGTCTGAAAGTGCTGACCATCGGCTGGCAACTGTTCCCGTTGAGTTGGGTGGGGGTACTACAGCCTGGGTCCGGGGCTGAGGACGGTCAGCTCATGCGCAGCAAAGACTTCTGAGACATGAGCGTTCAGGCCCTGCAGTGAATCCACATGCTCTTCAGATTTTGTTTTCTGGTTTGTATTTTGCATGGGCAATGGCTAGCCATTCTTCAAAGCTGAGTCCAAGAAGGGGCAGATAGAAGAGAATGTTGTCGCAAGAAATGTGGATTTTGACTTGGTTTTGGTCATCTGCAATTGTCGTTAGGAGGAGGATCGCAGTACTTACTCGAAAATGCGGTCAAGCGCCTTGCTGGTTTCCTAAAGGTTATATGATGTTATATTAGTTTAAAGAATTGTACAAGAAGACATGCAACTCCTTACTGCCTGCACTGTTCAGATTTTGCTGTCATAGCCGCAGGGCCCCTCACCCAAAGTCACTGGTGAGGGACACACTGTTGGAGGTGCAGGGTGGATGATGTATGACGATGTTATGGTGTGGATCAGGCCTAAATATACAGCCGGGCACACATCCACAGGGCCACATTTTGCACCGTAAAGCGCAAGCTGATGGACTTGGCAACGTTGGGGATGCAGGCTCAGCAGCTGCTCCAAGTGGTCGTCCACAGGCTCGCAAAAAGCCTGATAAGAAGCTTGACACGCCCATGGGCGGCACGAGTTGTGTCCAGAAAGATGCAGCAAAGTGCGATTTATAAGGCAAAACAAATACCGCCGTAGACCCTATAGTCTTCCCATGGAGTCCAGTGGATGTTTTCTCTCCAACCATGACCAAAACAACGATGGATTCCAGGCCAAAGCGCCCAACTTTGCATTGGCCTGGCAGTTTGTATCCAGCCTTTCGGCGGGTGCACCTCCAGGGCCACCAGGTGGCGGCTGATGGTTAACCATTGTTTTTTTTGGATGCAATATCTTCAGACAAAGCCACAGTATATAGACAAAAGCACACAAAAACGATCAAATACCCATGAATGGATATGAATGGCAGAAATGACTTAATGAACATGCATGGTATGTTGTTGGTGTATGTACAATGCACAGATTCTCAGCTTCCCTTTCAATTTATGCACGGTGCCACCTGGCTGCAGAGGTGCGGCAGCGCAAGCGGCACAAGCGACACAAGCGGCGCAAGCGGCGCAAGCAGCGCACGCACACCGCGCAGCAGCGCATTCTCCCAATGTTCCACGGGCAGGCACGAATTGGGGCAAGTGCCGTTGCACGGGCATTGATCGTACCTTTCTATACCTTTCTACATGCAACGTAGACCATGGACTAGGCTCACCGCTTGTGGCTCCTGGAGTGCGATCACCTCGCGCTGTGTCACCGCCAGAAACTTGGTTCCGATGCCTTCAAACTCACCAGGATTTTGACAAAGACTCCTGTGGGAGATGGAGCAAACATTAATCATGAATGGTATATGAATGGTATATGAATGGTTAAATCATCTTAAATCACTAATGTCCGAAATCCAGTGATGATCATTAATGACGAATGATTCTCACTGGATTCCAGGCATAAAGCGGAGAAAAAACATGGACATGTTTGGCTCCGTTTCGTCAGTGCCAAAAGGCCAGCTGGAAAGTCCCCAGCCCCAGCACCTCAAGTGCAGCTTGGCATCGCAATGCTCTGGCGATTCGATTGTGGCAGAAACATATTTATGGGTGGCACACAATCCATGGCATCCATACATAAACCCACCAACCAATCCCTCTATCCATCCATTGACATTGGAATTTGCATCCCTGCACATCCAAGGTGTTCACCACAGGTTGGGCGATTAGGACTGATACCTTATGCTGCTGATTGCAGAGTGTGGAGTTGTTCCACTGGCGATAGCTCATGTGAACTGAGCTGTATGGTTTTTGGTTTTTGGAGAGGGTGGAAGTAGTTCCAGTATTCCTCCAGAATATTGCAGGTGAGGTCAGTGAACTCTTTACAGGGCCAACTCTTGACTGTTGCAGATCACTCTGCAGGATGCACGGCCCCACCCAACAACAGGGTGCAACTAGGGAAGGCGGCTCCATGGAACCGCATGGAAACATCCCCGTGGCCCAACTCGCCTCCGCATGTGATCCGGATCCAAAGCCCTCTCTACAAAGATTCTCAGTCCCCCCGTTTTCTGATGAAACATCCCTCGCATCCTCAGCTCCATTCAGCTTCAGCGCATGCACCTCCTGGAGGGATGCATCCAATGAGATGGTCCGGGGGCACCACCCAGGTGTCACCCAGACTCCGGACGTCCTCTCCTCCACCGCAGCAGCCATCACCGCAGCAGCAGTCACCGCAGCAACCACCGCAGCCGCGGCAGAGTCACCTCCTTCCTGTGGCCTTGGCCAACTCTGTGGCGGCAGCAGCTGCTGCGGCACATGCAGCTGGCCACAGCCAGGAGCATCCGGAGATGCCAGGGATGCACCCGCCGTCAGGGCACCCTGTGCCACTGGGGCAACATGGGCCACCGGGGCAGCCTGGGCAGCCTGGGCAGCCTGGGCAGCCTGGGCAAGCTATGATCCAGGTGCAACAGATGCAACAAAAGATGCAGATGCAGGTTGGTCAGGTTCCACATCCGCAGATCCAGAAGCAGATGCAACTGCAGCAAATGCAGATGCAGCAGTTTCAGCAATTGCATTCACAGCCTGGTCAATCCGGGCAGGTTCATTTGATCCCTCCGATGCTTGCGGACCCCCAGCAGACTCAACCATTGGATGCCAGTTCCGTTATTCGGAAACCTTCCTCAGACATCACTCAAGTGCCATCGCGAAGAGCTTGAATCTCAGGATCATGACAACATATGACAACTAAGTGATTCCCCATGTCTTTGATGAAGTAATTGGTTGCATTGATGATTCACCAGCGATGAACATCATTTGGTCACATTTAACGGCTGCGAAGGGCCACAATACCGGGAAAGCAATGCCTTTTAGCCAATGCAGAATGTCATATGTTGTCAGTATTGTAGCTGATTTGGGGGAATCATCATTATTATAAAGACTTCGGACAGCGGGTGGTGAATTGCTTTGCTAAGGCCTCAAACGCGACCCTGTCACCAGCTGGATCGCCACTGCAACTTGACTATGATGATCCTTGTGATGCGCGATGTGTGTGTTAGAAAAGCCTTCAAAGAGGGATGGAATCAACCTCATTATACTCACTATACGCCCATCAATGCCCCATTTCTCCACAATTGTCCCAGTCAAATCACAATTTTTCCATGGGCAAAAGCAAACAGCACAGCAATGCACAGCAGCCCAGGCTGACCACGAGAGCTGTTGCGACCGTACACTCACCATATGCTGAAGGCGCGCGAGCGCTTGGACGATGGCCCAACTATTTGGAAAATCTGATGTTATGCTGGTTGGCTTGGAATTAGAATCCATCCGACTGTTTTACGTCAAGAATCCATCGATTCATTAATCCTTCAAAGTGTTAACTATATCAACACGTGTTTACTTCACATGATGAGATGTGCTTAGCAGCTCAGCAACGCTGCGAGGCAAAAGCACAGCGCCCACACAGCTGCTTTGGGCGCTGCATGTGGAGGCTGTTTGAGTCAGTTGACTCACATTGAAACAACAAACGTCAAGATGCATCAAAATACCAGAGATGTTCATCTTGGACGTATTAGTAGCTTAGGCTTAGATATTCATAGACTCACTGGAATTTCCCCATCCATTCCCAATCCATCCCCTATGGTCACATCGGCGCCCTGAGGCCGCCTCCCAGAGTTTGCTTCACCAGTGGGAGGCACGTTGCGAACTTCCTGTGACTCAGCGGGTGGGTCTTCTGTTCCAGAAGGACAGCTGGGGCTGGGGTGCCATGGGGCAATTTTTGACGCTTGGTGGTTGTTTCAAACCTGTGATTTTGTTCAATCCAAACAATATTTCGTGTATTTTCATGTATCCCAACAAGTCCCAACACCGCGACATGATTGTTTCGGTGGTCAGATGAACACTGACATGAACGGTCCTGAAATTTCATGGTATTTATTAGCTCTAGGGGCAAGACAGCCTCAACCTTTGTGTGGATTTCCGGCCAAGCTACTTCACCCTTGAAGGACTTCTTCACTTCCATCCTGAGCGAAGAGGACTGCTTTTGAATTCGCGTCCGTGAGATTTCTCGTAAGAGGTCGGGTTCTGCATACCTGGTGACAAACGGAGCAGGGGTCCTGCCATTGCCCGACTTTCTTTCGCCCCACTTTTTTTTTTCTCTCGGTGTCGGAGTTCCTTTTGTTCAACGGGCCGTCTCTTGGAGGAGGTCTCCATGGTGGACAGGGAGCAGTTCCAGATTTGGGCGGTCGTCCGAAGCTCACGGAAGCGCTGAAGAATCCCAGTGTCGCAAAGATGCCGAGCAGACCAATTGGGCTGGGCGGTATGATGATCTTGAGATATCTTTAGCATTTTGAGGTTGGTATCGAATTTATGTAACTACGTTTTTCAATGAATTTGTGTGGAACATGACTACAAGTTCAGTTTGCTTGTACTATTGCTCCAAAAATACCAAGGACAGCAATGGCAGTGGTTGGAGCCTTTGACCAACACCTGCTCTCAAAAGGACCAACCAAAAATGATTCATGTGACGGATCTCCACGGAAGATACTAATAGACTGAGCGTGCGTTTGACAGCAACATGTGCATGAATGATTTTTTGGTTTGCCTACGCTGAGAAACATTCTGTCACTACTGAGATCGCTCCTGCTCCTTTTTCTTGACGTACCTTGCTCAGTAGCTCACCATAGCTCACCATAGCTCACCACTCCGACTTTGACTTGGCTTTTTTGCTGGCTAGTATGCAATGAGAAGGCAGTCTAAGAGGTTTCGCAGTTCACACCATGGCCACCCCGAAATTGCAACGATGTAGGAACCTGGAGGGCCGGTCGATTTGCTGCCTCAGGAACTTTAGTTCCAATGGCACCATGGTGAACAACCAGCTCTTGTGCATTGGTGGAGAGCAGGCAGGATACCTGCGGTCAACTAATATGATTCACAGAATCATGGATAGTGAAGAATCATTTGCCGTATATGCATGTACATGCTTGAAACTTCACTGTATACGCAGTTCACAATGCAACCACCCTTACATGATATTTGTATGATATTTGTATGATATGATATATAATTTGTATGTATTTGACATTGGACATAGGTGTTTGGGGGCCCAATGTTTCTAGACTTTTGGGAGGTTGTTTTACCTTAACCTTTCCGTGGCGACGCATAGGTGCCCTTGAAGGATGGCGACCGGATCGCACTGCTGCGAGAACGTGGCGCTGGGATGGAGACGCTGTTGGAGCTGCTTGGCCTGTCCGTTCAGCTGGGCCCCATTTTGAGGGACGACTTGGAATTTCTTTCTGTCTCAGTTTCCTGGGATTGATCCTTAAATACGTCCAAAAGAAGATTGACATGAACATCATGAACCGTATAGTAATATGATCGCTAGTGAAAGTTTGGCTGCCGAAAGTTTATAGCTCGGAGAGGTAGGCCCGGTAGGCTCAACGCCATTGTTCCAGTTTCCCGAGCAAAGTTCTGTCAGGTTTCGATTTGATCTGTCAGGATCGATCCTGAAGGAGAGACTTTCTGGGGCGGTATCTCTCTGTGTTCTGGGTACACAATACAAAGTTCACAGTTCGGCCATGGCGATGCCTTCCATTTTTCCAGGATGTCCTGCTGCCTTTGAAAAACATGTCTCAAGTTTTGAACACAATTGAACACACAAATCGCCATAGCCCTCAGGGTCAGATCGCCCCTGGGAGGACTTGGCTGCTTGGCTGCTGCCTTCACGGCTGGCGGCTCGACCCAGTGCGCTTCCAACGTTGGCATCGGTGCCTTGGTTGACCTGTCAACACCGAAGTAAAGTGCTGTGGGTGCATGCGCAACTTTAACAGATTTTGATAGTACAGGTAGGTACTTATTTTAATAAAATTAATGAGAAGGTCCACATCTCCAGGAATAATTTACATATATTTACATATATCATTTCAACATTTGGACATATTTGGACATAAAACATCATAAAAGTGTATCATAACCAAATCATCCCAAATCCATGAATCATTACATCCGGCATGCTGCAGATCCCGAGCGCGGTGGCAGAGCCGTCTCCTCCCACACCGCGCGAGGCAGGGTGTTGGGGGCAATTTGTGGAATGGGAGCTGTTTGTCCTTTGTAAACAAGGTTCGGCCAGGATCCGAAAAATAGCAATGAATGTCATGAGTCATGAGTTTATCGAGAGTCAGCTTGGCAAATACGTGTAGGTGGGTATGATCCAATTTTTTTGATCCCCATTTTGATGATTTTTTGATGGCTAAATCTGATTGATGTTGAAAAACAATTGGACAAATCCTCTTTTGTGGGCCCGGTGGTACCCTGGAAATCGCATCTGAAGAGCCAGGCGATGCCTCAGCCAGAGTTATTTTCCGCAGAGAAAAAGGAGGTTCGCGGCGGACATTGCTTCACCACCGTTGGTTCACAGCTGTGGCATTCTTTGGATATCTTTGGATATGCATTTGAGTTACCCTCTGGTAAACTAACATAGCTATTGGAAATCACCATTTTTAATGGGAAAACTCACTATAAATGGCCGTTTTCAATAGCTATGTTAAATTACCAGAGGGTAGGGACCCTGGTTGTGGGACTGGGGTTTCTTCTCCAAGACTGAAGCGTTGCTGAAACCATCTGAAATCGCTATGTTGGAGATCTCTGAAGGACCCGGATGAGGCGAGTCCAAGGTGTGATTGCCGGGTGTGCTGTTTGGTAAAGTTCTGCGAGACCACCCAAGTCACCATCCCTTTTGGGTTTCAATCTGGAAATATCTGGAAATCTAAAAGGCTTTGAATGTTGGTGTAGATTAGTAGATGAGGCTATCAGAAAATACACCAAATACACTTTTGCCTTTGCATAGACTGTTGAAACCTTAGTTTTTTTCCTCGTCCCCGCAGGCCTTCAGCAGAGGGAGTATCCTTCCTGGGTGTGCGCCCATTGCCACCTCCTCAGAGAAGATGCCACTGCGGATGAAATCGGTGCCACTGTCACTGCTGAGGCCACTCTTCTCTCTGGAGTTGGGTGGAGAGGGCCTGCAGGATGATGTGCGGGAGGAGGACTTGACAGATCTTGACAGCAGCTTTGAAGATCTTTGAAACTGCCAGCATCCATGCAGCAGGTCATGTTCAGAAGATCTCAGAAGCCATCCCAGGACTTGAAGATCATCCATGGACCAGTTGCCAAGACTGAGGTGCCGATATGTGCCGATATCTTTCCAGAAAGGGTAACCAGTTGTCCTTTTCCATTTCATTTAATTTCATGAGCAGTTTCCACCAGGGCGTACCTGGAAGTTGCCTTCCACTGTTGCTGGGGCGCTCGGCGCAACGCAGCTTTTGGCAGCACCTTGAATGCACTGGTCATGCGAACGTTGAGGGATGGGCCTATTTGATGACTTTTAGATACTTTTAGCATATCCGTTCCGCAAAAAAAGAGGATAGTTGCTTGGATGACATTCTTTTTGAAAGGACATACTTCATGTCAATTTACCTCCAAACCTAACCGCCAACCTTGTCTCTGACACCGCCAAGCAGCTATTTTTTGGGTCAAAGCTCCAGGACCTTGTTATCAAACAAGCAGATCTGAGCCATGCAAGAGGAACTTTCTCATCCCAAGGCCTCAGCTGAAGTCTACTCCTGCCATGTCTGCTCTGTTTGAGGCGAATCTTGTGCTCCAACGCCTTCTATGCAATGTCGCGGCAGCACTTGCAATTCGAGGCACTTTTAGCAATGGAATATCAGAATATATCAAATACTGCTAAGAGAGTTCAGAGTAATTTGGTCAGATTTGATAATAGATTTGATGGTGGTTCTGGAAACATGTTGAAATTCATCTTGATGACATGAAGTCGATGAATTTAGGACAGAGGTAGATCATTCCATGGCCAGGTCGGCGAGGAGTTCTCTGTGTCCTCCAGCGTGGGGGGTACCAAGATATTCCATGACCTGGTGCAGCTTGAGTGATAGGACGCGAGTCTTGGAGGATTTTTTGGTTGCTTATAGTTACTATATAGTTACCCTCAGGTAGTCAAACATGGCAATGGAAAGTCTTCCATTTTGTCCATTTTAAAGCCTCCATTGAAAAAAAGGATTTCCAACTGGCATGTTTGCTGACCAGAGGATACATTGGCAAGCCTGGAAACATTGAGGCAACTTTCTACGTCAGGAACCTGAGTTCGTCTAACCCAGTACGAATCTGCAGGAGCGGCAGCTTGATGTTGGGGGTTATGCACACGTGTTTGGTAAGGATAATTTCCTGAGATCTCGTGACAGCTGTTGTTGATTTGTTGTGCATGTTTACAGCTTGGTGATCTGGGAATGTGACTTTATGCATTTGTTTGTTTAGCATGTCGTATTTTGCATACATCATCTCCATATGCTTGCCTCAAAGTTACACATGGTTTCGCATTTTGATAGCATTTGTGCATTGTCTTCATTTTCACATGCGTAGATTGTCCCTTCTTTTCAGGCAACGTTTTCGTCCTTTTGCCGCTTGACATGCTCCCGGCTTGAGCTCGCACATGATTTATGAACAGAGGCCACGTGGAATTTGCTCAGGACAAGCCTGCAAGAAGAGATGCAAGTTGCTGTTCCGCTTGAGATGGGTGCAAAGAGGCCTGGATGCCTTTGCCTCGCAATGTGTATCATGTGACATCAAAGCCAATTTTGAGGGGTGGATTTGATCAATTTGAATAACTTTGGTGTATTGATTTGGATGAATTCAGGCAGCTTCAAGACAGGGACGTGATCGTCTTGAATCCTGTCCAGGCAGGATGAACATGAGGGTTCAGATCAACCGATCAACCATGAACCAGACGTCCTTCTTGCCTGGCATAGCTGTGGCAGGGATATAGTTTGTGGTTGATCTTCTCTGATCTGTGGGCAAAGCGTACGGTCTGCATCTAAGCACAGCAGCTTGAGCAAGTGCCCAGCAAGGGCTTTTTGTGCCAGCTTTGGGCCGCCTTTTAACACCATTCACCAGTTTGCATCGACATGGACTTGACATCATGCTGCGGGTACTTCATCCACAATAGTCCACTTGTGCCTGAATAGTAGATAGAGAACATCGATTCGGCAAGTGAAGCCTGGCTCCCATGAATATTGTTTCCTGATGTTTGACAAGCCAAGGACGCTCCTGAGAATGGTGCCAATGTGGCTGAACCAAAATGGATTGCGTTTGCTCGAAGACAGCTGACTGATGTGGCAGGGCACGCAGGGCACACTGAATGAACAAGGCTAAAGCGGCTAAAGGCTACCGTCTTCGCAGCTGTAGGATGGTTTCCGGATGCTCGCTACCAGTAGTTGCAAGACTTTACCCTTGTTTGGCTCAACAGACACTGGAAGTAGGATAACAGTAAAAGGTTCTGCCATTCATCCTGAACACAGAACACCAGACAATGCCATCATTGGTCTTTTCTGCACAGAGTCTCACTTGCAGGTCCCATCCACTTGAACCAGCGGGCCCCCTAGGCCAAACAAGCAAGGTGGAAACTTCGCGAACAGAAGAATAGAAAAGCTGCAAACCACAGCAACTACCAGGGTTCAGGCACATTCTCGACCTGTAAAATCTGTAAATCGGTCGCTGCAGAGCAGCACCGCTTTCCTTTTTTCCATCTTTTTCCCACTCTCGCTGAAGCTGAAGGACGGCTGAAGCTGTTGCTTCTGGCAGATCGCTTGGTTTATCAACTTGCTAAGTAAGTCCTCAACTGGTTGCTTAATTAATAGATTTCAGACGATTGGAACCGTTTCAATGTTGACAACAGACGATAGTAAGACCTGGCCCCTTCTGTACTTTATGTTGCAAGTGAAGGAGCCATCATCCAAATCCACATAGGCGATTCAAACAGGCCTTGATTCCGTCGCGCCGTCGCGCCACAGGGCTTCTCGCATGGGTGCAACTTGTTGTGGTACTGATGTCAATTGCCTCCGCCTTGGTAAGACACTTGAAATCTCATGTTTTTTGGATCGTTTCCACCACTAGAATTGCAGGTTTTGGGGTTGGAACGCATTTTCAGATACACCCAAATATCATATTCTTGGTGTGATATAGTATATATGCATAATGATAATGATAATACATATATATATATACACATTATATATAATATATATATACATAATATATATATATAATATATATAATATATATATATATATTACACGTAATATATATATAACACACACACATATATATATACATACATACGTAATATAATATATATATATATTTATTACAAATATCCCAATACATCCCATGGTCTACCCTTCGCATCCCAGGATTTGATTAGATCGCCATATCCCCGTGGTTGGCCGGGCAGCTGGGGACTCTCAGGTGACCTGTGGTCGTCCTCCACGAGCCGGCCAAACCTTCAGTCAGCTGCCAACGTCACCTGCAAGGAGATGTGACCCGAAGATATTCATCAGATAAAGAGGATTGTTCATACTGCAACTATAACATACTATAACTTATAACTATGTAACTATAATTCTATAATTACTATGATATATGATGATTATTATTATTACGTGTTACTAGATATGTAGTACATAATATATGTACAGAGTCTATAATACTCATCGTTGTATAATGTGATATAAGCTGTATAGTAGGTCGTAGTGTAGTGTTGTTTTGAGCGTTCCAATTTGGTGGGTAGAGGATTGATGGCTGCTGTGTTTTTGCAGGAGGACCTTGGTGATGAGCCAAAGGCCTGGCCCGGTTTGTCGCAACATGGGGGGATGGGCCCTTGAAGGTGCGATCAAACAGTGGATTTTAGGGGTACCCCAGTTTGAACAAAACCCTGGTGACTCAATGGAAGCAAGAAACCAAGAGAAATACAAGAGCGACAATTGGATGATGGATGAAAAGGGGATGAACATGAGAATATAACGGAATATAGTTGCAGGTGCAGACAAATTGAAAGTTCTGGAATTATTCTGATCATGGATATTCCAAGAAGCAGCATGACGTCAATGCGAACTGTAGGCTCCAAAGGCGACGAGCCGCTTGATCAATGGTGAGCTTGATCCAGAGGTCTACATGAAGGCATTCAAGGCATCAGCGCCGCTGGATGCGTCTTTTTGAGCTGCTAAGTCGCGACTGAATTTGGTTTATCTGCTTGTTTATCTATCAATGTTTATTATTCAATCTGCTGATTTGAAGGATGGATTTCAAAGCGAGGAAAGTCAGGTCTATATAATGATAAACACAGAGAACAACAGTGACTAGCAGCAAATCTGTGAACTCTATTTGTTGAAGTGATAGATTTCAAAAAGTCATGCTTTTGAAGCAGCAGACTTGCCAGGGTCAACTGTCTCATCTAACACCAAAACAAGTGGCCTCAGTGATGAATGCTTCCCGGCCGCAGCAAGTTGTGTAGGAGAGAGGAGTCCTTTCATCGAAACGACTGAACAAGTCTGCCCTTTTGCTGACTATGATTCGTCCATATGTTTGTACATATTTGTAGTATCTGCAATGGATTCTCAAGGCTTCAAACACTTCCATCACAGAGTCTTTCTGGACGTGCTGGTGTCTGAGGTAATCATCAGAATGCAGGCCTCCTGTGAAAGGGTGGAAGTCGTGGTGTGGTTTGTCAAATTGTATGGATGGAAGATGGCACCTAGGCAATGAAGGCTACCCTCTGGTAATTTAACGTAGCTATTGAAAATGACCATAGAAATAGTGGATTTACCCAGC